TAGCCCGCCAAAAGTATCACCTAACAGCGCCCTCTATGGGCAACCTCGACATTATCTCCCCCAAAAAATTCGACCTTCCAAAGTTGTTTGTTGGCGAAATTTTAGCATTTCCCGAGCCCGTCCCCGGTCGAAAATGCCAGGACCTGGACTGAATTTGTCCGATCCGAATTTTCCCGTGGCCAGGTCCGACCGTCAGAATTTTCCCGGTCAAGTTTTTCTGGTCGGTAGTTGTTTTTTGACATGGCCATGCAGGGACCGTAGTCCATTCAGTTGGGCGCGGGGTTAGTAGCCCATGATAGCGCAGCACGCATTGCAATACGTGCGTGTGGTAGTTGTGTGCATACTTTGTGCAATATCGTGAAACCCATTTTGTCCCCATATACAAAACACAGGCACACCACACGGCACAACGCAGTCGGCCATCATGGCGTCGTGCAGTTAACCCACACCGCTCCCGAACGACAACTCCCTCCATTTTCACCCTCCAGCGCCCGAAATGCCGCCCGAAAACAACCACCAGAGCCCGGCTGGCACCGTTTCCTGGCTCGTCGGCACACTTTGGAGGGACAGCGGGACCGATTCGGTCGAAAAATGGGTGCAACGTCACACGTTTTTTTTTCCGCGGCGTGGCATATCGGCACTTAGGGATCGTCTCAGAAAGTCTTTGTTTGTTGATTGTTGTGTGTGTGGCTAGGTCATAATGTTCACTGCGCGGACTAAACACGCGGTGTATGTTTATACACAGGTCAAATATGAAATGGTTCTTGTAGTTTTATGAGCACCTTATTTCATATGTTAAACAATTTTTGCTAGCAGTAGGCTGGAATATTTTCCTAGGATATAGTTGTAAGAATTACAGAAATATTTTAGTATTTGCTTCGAAACTCCAAATTGGAAAAGGATTCTCTGTGACTGACATTGGTCAATTTCTGTATAGAGCAAGGAACAGATGATGAGCAGATATTTGCATAGGCCTAGTTTTATTGGATAGTAACTGTAAGCTTGATTATGTTGGCAAGATTTGGGCAGAAATTGTACATTTGCATGATGTAGAATAGTGCCCCAAGTAACAGTTTGCAGTCTGATCAGGTAAATTGTCGATTCATGAAGTGATTTTCGAATAGGAATGACGTGTCCTGGCAACATTTGGGGAAATAATGCCATGTTTCAGTTTGCATTGGATTATTGATTTCCCAACCTATAGAGTAGATGTTCATATGTGCCTGATGGTCAGCAAAATGATCAAGCAACTATTTATTCCTTCTTGCATGATTCTTCATGATTTCTGTTATACAAAGCTACCAACAAAGGCAGTCATATGATCAGATGTAAAAAAAATAGGAATGAATTTGACTTCCAAGTTCTAGTACTGGATTGGGAAATGTTATATATCACTGACAAATACAGCAGTAGGACTTCGGGTAGCATTGGACAAGTTGCAGAGCTTCACTCATTTATTCGAGATGGTACTTGTACTTGGTAGGATTTATAATGAAATATCACAAGTTGTATATTTTACTTGCATGGTATCCAGCTAAGCTATATTATATTGACCTCATTTTAATATAATTTCCATATAACTTGTTCCAAATTAATGAGTTATAATGTTAGGTAGCTAGCTAGGTAGGTGGGTAGTTAAGTATTTAGGTCAAAGGTCACAGGGAGAGAAAAACAATCCTCGCCAGTCCATGCCATTTAATACTATTCTATTCCTTCCTCCATGCTACAACTTTACTACAACGTTGAACAAGCACAAGTAGGCCTAGATGAAAACGTTTCCTCTTTCACAATTTCAACCAATTCAGTTTCATACACAATCCAGACAATTTGTTGAACCATGGACCTATGGTCAAACCATAGAGCAACACTACAACTGCTTCCTGGCGCCCAAACTCTATTTCAAATTTTTACTTCCAACTTCCAGTTCTCCACCCAACCACACACTAAACTACGTGAAAATGTCACAGTGGAACAACAACACTGCGACAAAAACATTGCGAAAGTGCCGCGAACAATCACATGGTCAGTTTGGTCATAGCATGTGTGCAGCACATAAGTATTAATCATATGATAACTCAAGCATTTCATTCAAATCACACACCAGTCATGCCAGTCAGTTACGACGAAGGTCTAGATTGCAATAATGCAAATAACAAAACACAGTACCACATATATTTTATTCACACTTCGGAATTTTTGTATGCAAATGTCACCATGAATTTGGACCTACCGTTTGGGGGTTGTTTCCCCGACACTCCAGTTCGATCCTCCTGCCCATCATAGCTGCCCCCGTTTGCTCCATGATTTCTGCCCCCGTCAGTTCTCCGCGGGTTTGCGAGTCGGTTGTTTGGTAGCCAAAAAACCCTGGGCCGTCAAAGCGTGAAGCTGAGCGGGCCGCGCCAACGATCGCACGCGGTGAAGCTACCTCACTCAAGCCGTTAACTTGCAATACACAATACACTTCAGATGCTGACCAGAGTTTCCAGACACGGCCAAAATCACGGGTGGATATTTTTCTCACAGCACAGGTAGTGTCCACTACCTGTACATGTACCAATCCAGGCTAAGTTGGCACTCTACTGTGGAAATCAATGCACGAGGGCTGCCCCCGGTAAATGGTTTACGGGTCTGGGGTTGCGGGCTTCTACGGTAGTGGACCCCAACTTGAACAAACCGATTTGGCGCTATTAACATGACGCGTAAACGTACGGCGATCCCCAACACACGGTGTGATATGCGCACCCAATGCATGGGATATTCAAACCACCGCGACACATACACAACACATGCACACGGCATAGGATAGGCACGGCGGGGCCATGCAGACAGCGCGCCAAGCCAATCATTATTCAGGGAGGGGTACTCGCAATTGAGCAATACCGAAGACCCTCACATGCAGCATGTAAAACGTGCATGCAACGGGTGCGTATTTTGTGCATGTTCAGTGGCCATAAAAGAAGGTGTTGATTTGAGAATGTTGTCACATTAGAGATATGGCACATATTTTGTTAACATTAATGAGCACAATCTGGGGATCAAAAAAAATGACGTATCACCAGCTATTTCCCTGTACAACCATATTATTTACCGCTTCTAGAAGTCTGAGCGCTGCAACAAAGGATACGCCCGGCTGTCCATTTTTCAGGCTACCTCATAAATATTCATAGTGCTCATTTTAATTTTGGGCCGGCGCGGAAACCGAGTAGGTTTGAATTCTGAAGAATTTCAAAGGCGGGTTGAGATCATCAATACTTACAAATCCTAACAGACTGAGAATATATATCTAATGTTAATGTTTCATTGTGTGTGTGCGTGTGTGTGTAAATATACGACATATTATGCCAGGAGAACTGAAAAAAATATCTGGATTTACTTCTCGAAATAACTGAGAAACTCCACCAAACCAAGGAGGAATAAAAACTGATCATGAACATAGTTAAACGGGGCGTGTCCATTCGGGAGATGGGGCGGGGCTGGCAATGATTTACATCTTTTTCGAACTACATGTACATACATATACATGATTTTTGTGTAGCACGTTTCGGTAATTATTCTAAATACCTGCATACAGTTTTGAGGGAACGTTGGATCTCGGATTTTCCGTTAGCACCTGAACATGACAATTTCTCCTTCAGAACTAGTTTATTGAAATTAAAATGTGAGTGCTACAGTGGGACGACAGTTTCCAATTTATAGCTCGATATTGCTAGTGCTGACGGTAAAATGTACGCACTAGGCCATCCATTTACAAAGATGAAGGGACGAACTTGCCGATGATGATGGGCGGAGCCTAGAACGAGTGGGAGGTGACATAACACAAAAAAATATCAGTGTGTGAATTTTCCACCAACCACTTTGGAAGGTTCATCAGAAATGTGTCGCTTAGAAGTATTTAAAATTGGTTTTCAATAATCTGAACTCGGTTAGAGGCGGGGCCACAATCCCCGAATATAATCGCCGCAACATGATATTCAACCCGTCCCGCCCTATTTTCTTCAGAGCATGACGTGTATTCGTTAATTTGTTGAAAAGGATTAATCAAAAGTGGGCAAGGAATCTGTAAAAACTTTGCTTTATCTGTGATGATTAAGTTATAACTAAGGGCCGCAAAAGCCACATTTGGTGGGTTTTTTTTTGGGGGGGGGGGGTCAAGGTAGTCAGATTTTCCCAAGTCTGAACCTTTATAAGACCCCAGTCTCAATCGGATGTTAAGACATCATCAAACCAGCTCTGAAGGTGTATATCGGAGGCTTTGGAGAAAAAGAATTGTCCATACATTGATTACTAAGGGGAATGGAAGGGTATCATTATCACAACTGCCCTTCCTTCTGTTGAAATATATATTAAACCAATCTCAGTTCAGGCATTTTCCCTTCAAAATGGGAAACTTTTTGTCGTACTGATGGACAATGCATGTATGCGTGATACAAATTCAAGAGTTAATAGTACACACACAAAAACAAGTGAAAAACAGGAGAAAAAAACTGTGTATACTTTTCACTCGCAGTCGACTGGTCTCGACTTTCGGGTAAATAGAGTGAAGTTTCGCTCTGATAATGAGAAGTATACTCGGATAGATCGGAAGTGGGTGGTGGCCATTATCAACCTGGATCAGCTAAAGTCAACCTTATCTGAAATGTTGATGGTAGGGAATCGTGCAGTATAATGTTCATCATCTTCACGTTTTCTCATTCGGGAGAGAAATTTCGCCGAGTGAGGACAGCTTCAACATCGTCTGATTTCGTCTATTTTACTTGCATTGAGCGTAAAGCAGGTGGGTTGAGTGTCACTCATTATATAACTTTATTCTCAGAGATAGAAAAGTTCTGCACACTTGTCTCACTGCTGGTAAAAGCGTAAAACTTCGTTTGGGTAATTTTGTTTTGTGACAACACTTGATCTTGAAACTATATCAACATTTGTTTTGGCGCAAGGTGATTCGAGCCTCAAAACTCGTGCAGTCGAGATTTTTCAAAAAATGATTTATATGGTTGCCTTATCGATGACAATGAACATATACACGAACTGATTACTCACATTGAGATGTACGTGTTAATATAATGATAATAAAAAGGGCCGGATGGATTATAAAATTATGAACCCACGGATGAGTTTTCATCGAGGTATTGTGCAAGGCATTAGGCCTATTTTATACTTGCGCCTTTTTTTCCCAGGGACTTATCAAAGATGTCAGTTTCCATGGTAACCCATCACCAGACCCTCTTCGAGTTGTCCCCTACGGACCTCCGCTCAATCCACATCTTCCTGGTCGTCTTCGCGCTGTGCACGCTTTTTGTCCGCCGTGTTGCAAGCGGACAGTGGACTGGGCGTGCGAGGGGATCTCTCCCGCCTGGTCCTGTTGGCTGGCCGCTGGTGGGCTATGCACCTTACCTCGGAAAATACCCTCACAAGGTATGCTTTTGTGAAGTTGGCATTTTGCATTATTTGCAACTTTTTCCCCTTTTCTTATCCCATTGCAAGTATTGGTAAAGGGTAAAGGGGTGAAACAAGGTGGGTTAGGGTGGGCGGAAAGGAACAGTGTATATAAGTGCGAAAACGTTTTAGAATAAACGTCGCCATTCAAATATTCTTGAATATTTCAAAATAAAAAATAATAACTGGCCATGAAAGTAATCCATCATTTGCAGTGGCGTAACTAGGGCTAAACTTCGAGGGCGGGGCTCCTGTGGGCGAGCACATTTTTTTGGGGGGGGGGGGGGCGCCACTGATGATTTGTAAACTTGTTTGCGAGATTTATAACATATGAGATCTATTTGACAGGACATATAGGCTACTGTGATCTGAACTTAACTACAAAAGGATTCTCTGAGGTACCGGTAAACAAAGAAATACATTTGAAGGTGATTTTGTTTGTTTGTTTAATTAATTTGTGGTTTTGGTTTTTTGCTTGTGTTTTTTTTTTGTATAACTAAGGTAATGGCAAATCTTAGCCAGACTTACGGGGATGTATTCAGCCTAGCCATCGGACCGCGAACAGTCATCGTAGTGAACGGTGTCAGCGCGGTCAAGGAAGCATTGGTGACACACGGCCAGGATACTTCGGGCCGTACACCGCCCGCTAGAGCCGTTACCGTCAATACATCACTCGGTACACAGGCCACTAACTATTTTCTCAAAATTCAAATTTAACTTATAAAACAGAATAAGACTTGATATAAGCTTTATACTTGAACGCATATCATCTGTCATTTTGAATACACAGCAGGTTAGCTCAAATACCGTACTTTCCATCTTAAGTTTTTCCCCAAAGTTTATTTTGGGTACGTGGCAACTAAAATGTTTATCAGTTCGTCGTTAATCACGAATGAATAGTCACATGAACAAGCGACCATATTCATCTCGAGAAAAGAAATACAGAAGTCCATCACTTAATAATTATGTTTTTACCCATCCCCTTCATATATTAGGTTACTTCTGGTCGTCTGGCGATCTGTGGCGCGCCCAGCGGAAATTCGGTCAGGGCGTTCTTCGACACTTGGGCGGGCCGGGCCGGCAGGGCTTGCAGGGCGTGATCCGCCGCGAGGCCGCTGTCTTGTGCGCTGAGCTCGCCCGACGATGCCATCCCAGCGCCCCGCTAGACACCACCACCCTGGTCGATAAGGCCGTGGCTAACATCATGTGCTCTCTGGTGTTTGGCAAACGGTTCCAAAACGATGATGAAGAGTTTCAGCGGATGATGGAGCTATCTTTTGACATCCAGAAGGGAGGTTTCTCGGCCGTGGAGAACTTCTTGCCCTTTCTGTACAAGTAAAGCTATATAATTTTGCCTTGAATCAGTATAAACTCGGGACCATTAATTGTGTTCGTGAATTTCTGCATGCAGCACTTTCAAAATCTAGGATATGAAAGCCCAATTCATAAGCTTTCTTTTAGTACACGAATCATTCAAATCACTCATGTACTTTTCAAGTTACGGAATTTTAAACTCAACCACCGTTTTAAATAAAGTGTTCTTTCAGCAAAAGGAAACAAAATCACATCGGGATGTGTGTGAATTGTTTTCGTTTTGCTGAAAGAATGCACACCTTTTTTTGTGATCCGTGGACAGAACTTTAAAATCGTGGTTGTGTTTAAAATTCCGTAACTTGAAAAGTACATGAGTGATTTGAATGATTCTTGTACTAAAAGAAAGCTTATGTATTGGGCTTTCAATATCCTAGATTTTGAAAGTGCTACAAGCAGAACTTCACTAAAACAAAAGTCCCGACATTTGGGTTTCGTTTTGTTTTGGAATCGCCCTGTATATTTTGTAAAACCATTTGGCGTTATGTGTTTGTTTGAGCCATTATTATACTCTATCTGTTAAGGCTGCCGTTCCTGTTCCGACATGCCAAGGGAAAGAAGCGGGAGATTTTGAATTTCATTCGTGACATGCTCTACCGTGACCGCGATGCGGTCGACCAGGCACGTGCGCAAAGCATGGCGGATCTCTACTTCATCGAATTGGACCGACAAAAGAAAGGTACGAGCGAGGATAGAACAATGTTATCATTGAAAATTGTTTTTCGTTAAGTACACACATTTGATTGGATTACTTGATTTGATTTTATTGATTTGATTGATGATTGGTAATGATGTGCGAATAATTTCTCAACTGAGAGAATGGTTCTGAAAATAACCAGAGCTGTAATGATTGATGATTGATTTGATTGATTCAATTGATTTCATTGATTTGATTGATTTAATCGATTTGATTGGTATATTTTTGATGGGTTTATTTTATTGAGCTGATTGATATTAATAATGAGATTGATTTGACTGATTAATTAAGTGATCAATCGAATGATTGATCAATTGGTTGACTTGATTGATTTGATGGCTTCATTGGTTTGATTTGATTAAGTTGATGGAGATAATGATCAATTGATTCATTTACTGATTGATCCATCAGTTGATTATTTTATTCGGGACTTGGGGTTCATAGAGCTTGGGGAGGCCTACAGCTCCAGGGTCAGAAGTTAGGCCAATAACCCCTCCAACTAATTCCACTAAAACAACGCCCATAACTTAGGAACATGAGAATGCCTTCTGGATCACATTAATACTCCCGTTTGATCATGGTCCTTCTTCAGATGCTCATCCTTCGCCAGACATTCGCTTCACCGAGGACAATATCGTCTCGGCCGCTTGGGATATGTTCATCGCGGGCGTGGAGACCACAGCAGTCACGCTGGCATGGGCACTGCTGTATCTAATGCTGCACACCGACACACAGGAACATGTAAATAACTTCCCTCATATCCACCATCAAGCCCGGTTACTATTTCGCAAAAGTTTTGGCAGGAATCATTCGGAAGCAATACTCAATCAAACAAATGGATTATTGTATAAACTACAGTACCTTGTAAAAGTAAATTTAAAAATTGTAATTCTGACCCTAAATTATGCGCACAAGCTGAATTCAATTAATTTTTTTAGGAACATAAATAGGGATATTTATAGGAATAATTTTTAATTTGACTCACTCATTAAAAATTATGTAAGTGAACTAGAAAATATTTTTTTAAACAGATTAAGTTCCTGGCATCCTAAAATATGGATTTCACTTTTAAAACTACATGTATATATTTACAACTTCAAAATCATTAAAAAGTGTGAAACCAAGATCTAACTTTTTTTTTCCAAGAGGTAAATTTTTTCCCCCCAATTTCCCGGTGTGGCACTACCTTATAGATTTAGTTGTTATTGATCTCTCTGATGGAACTTGTTGCGCTCAACAGATACAAAGTGAAATCGACAAGGTGGGCGGAGGGGAGCCCCCCTCCTGGTCCGATCAGAAGGACATGCCATTCACGAGGGCTGCCATAATGGAGATACAACGGTGTGCAAACATAGTGCCAATAGCCCTGCCACACACAGTGACGGAGGAGTTTCAGCTCAGGGGCCACACCATACCAAAAGTAAATTGTAGATCTGCCCGCAACCTTTGGCATTCAGTTATTCATTTTAAACCTCAAATGGCATTGCTAGTATTGTGACTTTGGGCGTGATCCCTGGCTACATGGCATATACCGGTTGTGATGACTTGTGAATGACTTGTGATGACTTGTGATGACTTGTGATTACTTGTGATGACATGTGATGACTTGTGATGACTTGTAACGGCGTATGATTACTTGTGATGACTTGTGATGACTTGTGATGTCTTGTGATGACTTGTGATGTCTTGTGATGACTTGTGATGTCTTGTGATGACTTGTGATGTCTTTTGATGACCTGTGATTACTTGTGATGACTTGTGATGACTTATGATGATTTATTTCGACAGGGTTCAGTTCTCTTCATCAATCTGTGGTCTGTCATGAGCGATCCTGCAGAGTGGGACCAGCCTCAGGAATTCCGACCAGAGAGATTCCTAGACAGCGACCTCAAGATTGTCAAACCGGAAGCATTTATGCCTTTCTCTGCAGGTATGTTTGAAACACCCACTCTTGTCGATCTGGGAAAAAGTATAAGCTGGTTTGTCAGGGGTAACATAAACCCTGCATAAGCAAATAGAAGGAAATCTACAGCAAATTGAAAAATTTATTTTCTCCGTTTCAAAGTAAATACATTTCCTTTTAGGTAAATGTTTAAAATGTAATTCAACCATGCATTTCCAAATGTGGAGACCATGCGAATCCCACATTAATCTGCACGTTATTTCGATTTTTAAAAAAAAAAGAAGTTTTCAATTCTGTATTTTCTATTGGCAAATTTGGGCACGCTAACAATTCTATCATGAAGGCCCCCTTCAATGGTGAAAGCATTATGCTAGCTACTGCTCAGATAATCCGTCTTAAGGCAACACTGACAAAAATGCCTTCTAATCTCGACAGGTCCGCGAGTTTGCATGGGGGAGCAACTTGCCAAGATGGAACTCTTCATCCTGATCACCAGCGTACTCCATCAATTCAACTTGACCCTTCCTAAGGATGAGCCACGCCCCTGTCTGGACCCCCTGCCTGGCATCACCTGTGGGCCACGCCCATATCGGGTGTGTGTGACCAGGAGAGGGGCGTGTCCATCTAACCAGGACAGGATGGAGGAGCTGTGAAATTAACATGGTCTAAGTTGGAACACTTTCTGGGTTATTTGAGACCCCTTTGAGATGGTAAAGGTAAAAGAAGTCAACACAATTAAACATTCAAAAATTCCTTCAAACAACTGGTTTAAATTATTTTAATGATTTTCCAAAGACAAATTCATTCACTCATAAAATCTGTAGTCTTTCAAAAATTAGTGGAACAAATCTGAACTCTTTCTATAATGAGTGGAATTCATTGAAACTACAATCAAATTGCACCCTCGATAAAAAAAGTTACATTCAAGTTAAAAGTTAGGTAAGGTCTGGTATATTAACTTCTTTAATGCTTCTTTAGGTATGGGTTGCATGGCTTGTTACAAACACATCCACAAGAATGCTATGACAAATGGGGAAATCTCAAATGTAGGACTACATATCTTAGTTGGTAGAGTATTAGTCAGATTTTCCAAAGGTCACTGTTTCAAATCCTGCTTAGTGTTTAAGTCAAGTTTCTCTGATAACCAAGAAATTCATGTAAAGTTCCCTGTGTAGTTACATTTGATGTATGGCAACAGATGCTTTGTTGAAAAATACAAAAAAGACAGAAATTTGCTGTAAGAATTTCCCCAAGTAATATCAGTTGGTACCTAGACCCACCCCAGCCCCTCCTCCTTTCACCTCACAAAGTACTTCAGCCTCGCTCCTTCAAGGTCAAAGGTCACAATCAAACTCCTAGAGTCAGTGGCGTCCCTCCAGCAGTTGATCTTGCCAGACAGAACCTCCCCCTTCTTGAGTGGAATGGGCTTCCTCAGGAGAAACACAGTCTGTTTCCAGTGTGTACGCTGGCTGCTTGGACCAGTCGAAAACATAACCTGTAGGGAGCAATAAAGGTAACAAACTTTTCAATTTTGAACACAGATTTGGCTGGAACGGCATTTGAACCAGCACCTCTGGACTACCCATCCGGTGCTCTACCAACTATGCTATCCAGCCCTACAATGGCAGTCTCTGAAACTTTTAATGTCTTTGTTTATTAAAAGAATGCTAGTCAATTACCCCAAAAAATGGAGGTTCACAGATTGACTAAACTGTTTTTTTTTCTGTATTGACATTTTTTGTAAGTAAAGCCAGGTGTTTTTGGCTAAAAGATTGTTTGGCTTTGCAAACATGAACCCCAGACCACGGAATAGCAGTTCCAGTGTTCTACCATCTGAGTTTTCTAGCTAGTACTAGGAGTTTCCAACATAGCAAACCTCAATGCAACAATATTGGTGGAGGAATTAATCTTTGGACTGAAATAGTTAGAAGTTTGACACTTGTCACATATATGAGAAAGCAGAATCTAGACAAAATGGTGGAATGGTACATTTTTTTGTCAAGTGCATGTACATTTAATTGAAAAAAAATCAACTGTTTATGGAGTTACTGGTAGTGATATTAATGTAGAGTTTAATTATAATCACGGCTTGTCAGCAATGTTTCAAGTAAACTATGATTTTGTAAAAATAAGATTTCAACAAATCAAATAACCAAATTCTTCAAGGCTTTGGGCTTTTTTTCTTCAAGTAAACTTACTGTTTTCCTGCAGTTCTTCTCAAAAATCACATCAAAATATCCAACCAGTGCCTGTAAAGTTGAAAGAGAAAAATTCACGTAAAATATGACATATTTCTTGAATTTCATATCTTCAAATTTCATTTCATGTCTTGATGGACATTCCAGATTGATTGTTACTTTTCGAAAATTTTCTTACTGTGCAACTGCTGTCCCTTGATGATTTCAATTTGAAATCCGTCGTAAACTCCAGATCCTTAACATTGACACTTGTCACATCCAAACACTGAAGACACAAAAGCAAACCAAATTTAACATGATTAAACATTTAAATGGATGTAATTACCATTTTCCTATAAATTTAATTTGAATGATTTACAAGATTTGTATGCAGTTCTCTCACTTACAAGAAATATGGTTGACATTTTCAATTCCCACTCGTAGAAGTAAACTGATAATGTTAGTCTTAATTCCCTACCATGATTGTAGATTAACTGTGATTTAAAACTGTGGGGATTTTTCCGTCAATCATTGTTTAGAGTAATTTTAGTAGACCTACTCAAATATAATTGATAATATAATGATCTTAGCATCAAGTAGTGATTGTTTCACTCAGTGGCGGAATATGGATTTAAGGAAAAGAATAAAGTGCACTGGTGAAAGTTACAACCTCAAACATTGTGAACACAGCAATGGGTTGTAAATCTGTACAAAATCTGCAAGATTCCCAACAAATTTGCTTTGTTGTAGTCGATGATGGATCACAAGTCATCACAAGTCATCACAAGTCATCACAAGTCCATCACAAGTCCATCACAAGTCATCACAAGTCATCACAAGTCAATCACAAGTCAATCACAAGTCATCACAAGTCCATCACAAGTCATCACAAGTCAATCACAAGTCATCCATTCCCAAGTCAAGTCACAAGCCATACGAATGAACTGTTACAAAAGCGTTCTTTTGTGATCGTTCATCCCTGTAACTTATGACTGGACTTGTGATTTACTTCTGATTGGACTTATGCTGGACTTGTGATCTGTCGCAAGCCCCTGGACTACAACACTGCCAGCTTGTCACCAACCTTGACCATTGCAGCGTCGGACATGACAGTCTCAGGATTGATGTAATCCACCGAGGTCTCCTCCAAGACGCAGGATTTCATGCACGTCATCTTGAAGCCGTACACGTCGTCCCAGAATGCAATCCTGGAGGCGTGGCTCTCGCTGTCGCTAATGGCAACCAAGCTCAGAGTGCAAAGGTCAGGATAAACTGAGGAATGGTAAAAAGGCGGGTACATAGGTTACTTAATATTGACATGGGAATTAAACTGTGTATATTTCACTATCATTACCTTGCTCACTGGGCCAATGAAACATTCTAAATAGCATCTCAGCTCCCTGGGGAGTATACAGCTCGATGCTGCCATTTCGGGGCAAAGCAACTGAGATCAACCACAATAACCATCTCTACCCTCACAGGTACCCATTTACTCCTGGGTGGAGAGAAGCAATGAGTGACAAAGTGCCTTGCCTAAGGGCACGCACACCATAACCCCAGGATGGACTTGAACCCACAACCTGCAGAATTACCCGCAGACCACAAATTCAATGCTCCAGACCACGAGGCTACGGCACTCCACACAATTATGTCAATTTTTTTTTCTGTAAAGGGCTTACCCATTCCACCTTCAGCCAAGTATTTATCTCTTGCATACAGCACTGTGTCAAGCATGGACTCAAACAACAGAAAGTAACCCATCCACTCCGAGATAATCACATCAACCTGAGGGTAAATGAAAGAACACTCTGAAAAATGATGAAAATATAAGGCAAAAAAACCAATACCAATGTACACAACAAAGATCTTATGCATTGCAGGTGTCGCAGAACGTGTTCTTGAATATTTTAATTCGGTAACAATGAAAGCACAAAAGGTACACATATGCCTATCCGAGCGATACAAAACCATTGCCCTCTGAATCCGCCTTAACGCATAAATAAGGTCTGTTTTTTTCAAGTTACTTTTTCGTTAGTGTTTTCATGAACCTACTTCGATCATATTTCAAACTTCCCATCTGAAACTTAACTGCCAATCATAATGAGGTTGTGGGGTTAAGAATTCAGAGCAACTGCAACCCACAGATATTTTAACTCCAGAAATTATTGATAAAGAAGACATACTAAGCTTAACATTTTAGACCAATCTTAAAACCAAATTAAGAAGCCAAATAGGTGCAACCATGCTTGCGTGCAGGTGGTTATGCGCGCAGAGCTCCGTCGACCAGTGCGTTACTAAATTACAAGCACACCTCAAAAATTTAATGAAGAAAGTGTGTAACATGTGCATGAGCATGGTGGCAGCTCGGCAGATTAGAGAACAGTGGATAACAATACCTTGTCAACAGGGATACTGATGTCTTCAACTCGTCCCTTGATCAAAGTGATGTTATCCTCCAGTTTATTTTGCCTGTGAGGATTGTAGGTTATAGAAGAACAGCACAAAATCTCACATAAGTTGCCAATAACGTAATTTTGATCTTTAAAAAAAAAATCTTTATGGAAATGATACCAAGAAGCTCCCCACAAGAACTGTAACCCGCAAGTCTCAGAATACAGTGGACATTGAATACTGCACCTAACGATATCCATGGCTTGATAGATGATTTCTGATTGGTCGACTCCGATCACATGCTCGGCTCCTGCCCGGGCAGCAAACATGGAGAGAATACCCGTACCGCAACCGACATCCAGCACAACCTGTACATCACAAAATTACAACATTAACAAAAAAGTCACAAATCATCGTTATCTTTACTTCAGTTTTGAAGTAGAGGTATTTGTGATGGTCCGCACAATTCTGCAACAAGTCAATCACAAGTCCTCCAGTCCAAAATCAACTGACATCTATTACTTTGTCATTATTCATTCCGTGTTTATTGACTTGTGATTAACTTGTGAATTGACTTGTGATTTACTTGTGACTGGACTTGTGAATTGACTTGTGATTTACTTGTGAGCAATCACAAGTACGTCGACTACAACACTTCTAAATGTGTCAAGTTTTATCTATCATTTATAGGTATCGTTCAAATGACGTCATTTTCTACAGACCATCCACGTGCATCGGCATTTTGAGCGTCAACTTGCATAACGCGCATCGGCTGCGTCGTATTTCGAACACATTTCGAGCAACAAGCCCGCGTGTTTGGAACATTTTCAACACTGGGTATTGCATGCTTGATTGCGTAAAATACGCAGTTGCAGTTCTCCTACAGAGATGGCCGTCATTGAGCGAGCCCTATTGAGACTTGCCATCCTTAATTAAGATTCTAATATGATGCTACACAGACCTTGTTCTTAAAGATGTGTTGATTGTCATAGATGAAGTCTCGGTAACTCTCGGTGCGGACTTTATCCTTGAGCATCTCTTCATGGATGCCGTAATGGGCGTAGGAATCAAAGTAGGCCTGGTCTTCATGTGGAGTTTTCCCCGGGAGGGGTGAAGTGAGACCCTCCCCTGATGAATAGGGGGAGGCGACAACTTTCTGGGCGAATTCTCTGGTGAGGAATAGAAAAATTGTGAATAGTGGTGTCAGCGTTGGAGTCAGCGTTGGACACTGTACAATTTGCATACGATACATGTTTCAAGCTTCAGGTTTGACATTTTGTTAAAAAAAACTTCTGGAAAATCATTTGAAAGGATTGTGTAACAGACTGTCCAACACTAACATGCTGTCAAGTTGCACATGTGGATTTTGCACTTTGGCACAAAAAACTAAAACAAAATCAGTCAGTTGGCTGTTTTGAATTTTTGTTTTCAGAAATGAATGGTTTGTTGTATTTTTCCTCAGCTCAAAAAATCAGGAATGATTAGCAATTCCAAAAAAGGCCCATTTATAAGGCAGTATAAGTACATTTTTGACTGACTTGGAAAAAAAGTGGGTAGGAAAGTAGGAATACATGAAGTTTGGTACCACTTCAAAGTTGTTGATGAACTCATTCAAATGTATTATCCTCAAAAAGTGACATTACAAATTAACAGAACGTTGCTGGTAGATGGTCACTCAAAATACGTCTGCGAACTCACTTGGCCATGCTGAGGTCCTGCAGTGCTCTGGCCAAGGACTCTTCGGCCAGCGCGGCTCTCTGCTCGGCAGACTGAAGTCTCTGTAGTAATGCATTGTACTCGCTGCCTGATATCCTGACTTCTTCAAGGTTGTCTTGGGATGATGCTTGGGACGGATCAGATTGGTCCGGGTCATCTAAAGATTCTATGTCTGTGGGAATGTGATAATTGAGAGAACTTGGCGAGCATTCAAGAAGGGTTGGGTTTGAGAAGTTTGAGGTGAGTTGAGGAATTGCTAAAATAGTGGAATATTACACTAAGGCCAAAAAAAAAAGTCTCCGGTTTCTGGTATGCGCGCGCGTCGCCGTAGCCATGCGCGTCGGCAAAATGAAAAAGTTTTTTTTCAATGAAAGATGATGTCTCAAAACCGCCAAACTCACTGGTTTGACTGGAATCCTGCTGCTGCACAATTTTAACGTGTTTTTGGATGGGGTTATGATCGAGAATAAGCTTTATGTGACCTCTCTGGACTCCCATATAATTGCACTAAGTTTAGTCGGGCACCATTTGCAGTCATCGGCCGACATTTGAGGCAAAAAAAATCAGGTAAAAAAACAAAAAAGCCGCGTTGCCGCACCACTTTTTGGACAAGCTCCATACCAGAAACCGGAGACTTTTTTTTTGGCCTAATGCATATTTATGAGCTAATGTTGTGGGTCAATATCTCCATCTCTTGTCTCAACCTTACAGTCTCTTGTCTCAACCTTACAGTCATATATCATATTTGTAACCTAACTTCATGTATACCTCATTGATCAGATGTGCCGCTATACCCCCTCCCTCCCCCTTTTTTTTTTGGGGGGGGGATGGCGGGTGTCATGGGGGCAGGAAGGGTTCTACCTCCACCATCATGACTAAAGGTCAATCAAACACACTCATAAAAGCTCAAAGGCTGGCTTTTATTTAACTTTTTCATATGGTCGCGTCCAAATAACTTGGCTATGACTACCAATAACGCATGTACCCATGGAAGCGCTGAAGCCACATCCCATAGACACGTGGGTTACCGCTAGCCGTAGCCATTTCATAGAGTTTATGATAAATGAAGCAGCGACTTACCAAATAGCAGGACTGCATCGTTACTCAGTACGGGCCTCATGTAGTCATCGCAATCCCAGGGTGCATTGCTTGTCGGATTAACAGCGTTGACGTCAGAACTGGAAACATTCTAGTAAACCAGAAAGAAGAGTTACTTCAACTGGGAATCATTTTCAAATTTGCCAAAACAAGTCAGATTTTATCCTGTAGCAGTGGCACAGCATTCTGGGGTTAAGGGGGGTATTCCCCCCCCCCCCCCCAGTATTTTATCATGAGTGCCTTTTTTTTCACGAGTGCCTTTTTTTGTGTAGAGTGTCCTTTTTTTCACAAGTGAACTAGCTTTGTTTTATGTCCCGCGAACGTCGGCATAAAGAGTGCCACCTATTGTCCGATAGTGCCCATGACTGTCCGATTTGAACAGCGCCCTCATAGGAAGATGGTGTCCAGTCTTCCCCCTCCCCTTCAAGTACCTACCTTGGCACGAATAAAGTTGACTAATTTGATGTAGGCAATACAGTCAAGATCTGTAAAGAGAGAAAATAAGGATGAATATTAAGTATCAAGTTTGTAGCTGGTTTCCTGTTGGTCTGAAAATTTGGGACTTTCAATGTATGAGATTCCCCAAACTTAAGGTATTCAAAACATGCAACACAAGAAAATGGACTGGCACATGAAAATAACCAGTCCAACACCCCTTTAGTACAGCATTGGTCAACTGTGTCAGAAGAAACATCTGGTACTAGTCTCCATTTCTACATATTCTCCATAGCCTGCCACCAGACTACTGAAGGGTCAATCTTTTCAAAAAGTTGGACATGTACCAGTCTTGTCTTAGGCTTCAAATTGAGATCACTTGGCTTCACTCTCAGGTGCAAAATGCTGAAGAAAGTCTTTGTTAAAAATTGATTTGAGACTTCAAACTTGGCTGGTGAAATACTGAGGACCTTGTCTTTGCCTCATGAACATTTTGGAGAATTTTGTCAGCTTAAGATTCGGTGAAATTTGCCTGATTTTGTTAAAATGTTTTTCTGCATTCGAGGTCCCAGTGTGGCGGTATCCGTGCCACTGTTTATGAAGTTGGGGATCTGTGGGCCTCGGAAGCTTCAGGAACTAAAGAGGAATGCAACAATGACGGAACTCTACCATGTTTTCTCTTGATTTGTCGGATGTCGAATTTGTGAGCCTCGGGACAATGACTGAAAAGCGCCTCCTCAACAGAGGGCAGCATTGCCTCACAGAACAGACATCTTGCTGTTTGGTTTCCCGTCTCATCAGCATCCTCCTCACATTCCAACCAGGCATCATCGTTGTCGTCATCCTCATCCAAATCGTCTTGGAAGTCGGCTTCGTCTACATCTTTTTCACCTGCTGTGGATAACCAAAAAAAATCAAAGCAAGTAGTTGACCTAACGATGCTTTAAATTTTTAGTGGGCCTAATAATAATAATGATAATAACAAATCAATTAAGTGATGCCTTGCCCCCTACTCGATAGCTAAACCCCGCCCCTCTTAGCCTATTCTCTCGTGTACAAATCAAACATGTCAAATACAAAACCTTGAATTAAACTCCATCAATCATGTCCATTTGGTTTAAAATCTTGCCAACTTAGAATGCCAGCATTTAATAACTTGGTTCTAGTCACCGGAAAATAAAAAAAATTGAAAGATCGTGAGTTTTGTTAGTTGTATTTGCACGGTTATTATTTTTTTTACCATTCATTAACGCCGCACATGTGGTTTTCGTGGGATGCGCCATCTTGGTAAACGACACGTGAGGGCGCACTAACGTTAAAAATCATTTTTACGTACACAAAAAGATGGTGCTGGGACAGACGTGCTGCCGCGCTGTGTTGAGGTAGGTTGGAATTTAAAAGTCGAATTTGTCACCTATTTTGTCAATTTTATACAGTTTTGCTGAATTTTATTGACAAAAGAGTTTTTGGTAATTGTTATTTGGTTATTTTGCTCAAGATTCGAATTGTTTTTACGGAAGAATTGGCATTTTTTTCTTGGACGGGAAATGACGAAGTCAATGCGGTGACTCATCATGAATTTACGCAGTCCGAGTGTCAAAACAAAAGACAAAACCTTGGTTCCATTATTTGGAGTTTTTCTAGTTCATTTGAAGTAGATGATCCCACATTTTTCTGTTGATGTTATTGGTGTTGATTGCTTTGTCATTATTCTCACTTATTTTGGTCTGTCAGTGTCACATGTTTACCATGTTTACTGAACAATCTAGTTGCAGATTTGTTTTGAAAGGGTAGGCCTAAATTTTTTCGGTTCAATCAACTATTTTCTAATAATTTGAAGAGAATGTCGAGAATAAGGTATTCTTGTGTCACTTTTCACCACATTTAACATCAGTGTTGGTAAGTCATTGCCGATATCAGTCACGTCAGTTAATGTGGAAAACCCGTATTTCTCAGACGTATTTCTACATTTGTGCAGAAATGCTTGAAAGGTTTTCTTTTCTCTTCAGGTTCTCTGAAATGTTATTGTTGTTGTTTGTTTTGTTTGTATTTTGATTTCGGTGTGTTTGTCATTTAAAATCATGTTTTTAGATGATAAAAACATTTCAGATTTGCCTCAAGAGGTAAAAGGGAATCCATTCCTGTCAGCATGATACCTCGCCCCTGATTGGTGGAATAAGAGGTTTTTTTCTTTTTTTCTCTCTTGACAGCTATTGGCACAATCACCGACTCTAAGCTATCCCATGAGATGCACTCCCGCCTATCCAAGCTTCGTTCCATCAACGTCGCATAATCCCAGCTCAACACAGCCACCGATCCTGAGAGAAGTTGGTACACAGAGACACCTAACCGTACCAAACGCTGACGATCAGAGAAAGAGAGTTTCTATTTGAAATAGGAGTTTACTACAGTCTGCGACAAACAGCCCAGAAGTTGAACTCTGTTTGTTGATTTTTTTACAAGCAAAAAGGTATTAGTTTAATCAGCATCCAATATCGATGTTTTTTTTTTTTCCTCATGTTGCAATCTTAGGAGTAATAACAATTGAAACAATAGAAATATGCCCCATCATGCCACTGTAACCAGAGAATGATGGAACATTTATTTCTATAGACCTCATGCGTTAAGACGGACTCAGAGGGCAATGGTTTTGTATTGCTGGGATAGGCATGAGTAAACCTTTTGTGCCTCCATTCTTGCTAAATTAAAGTAACATAAGAACAACATTTGAGACACCTGTAATGTATAAGGTAGATATTGTAAGTCCCCAACGTTTGCCACGCCAACCTGATCCCTAGTAGAGACAGAGATGTAGTTGAGCCCATCACAAGTCTCTACCAAGTCCATCCCAAGTCCTCCAGTTCCAATTCAACTCACAAGATATTTAAATGAGTTTCGACAAAGGCATTCCTTTGTTATTGTCCAACCACTGTTACTTGATAATGGACATTTGAATGGACTTATGATGGACTTGTCATGGACTCCACTACTTCCCCTCCCTCCTCCCCCCCCCCCCCCCCCCCGAGGCTATTCAAAGCAGTGTGTATGCCCTTATGATTATTTCCTAGGTGTTTTCCCCGCTTCAGTAAAAAGGCTTGCCAAATGTCCCCCTTCCTTCCTAGAAAAAAATTAATTCTGTTCTTTTCTTTATTTTTCAAGACAAGTTGCAGATTGCCAGGATCGTGTACCTATACGGCAGCCGTCAAGGACGGGCAAAGAGTTTTTCAGAGGAAAACTCTTTTGAAAGCGGGGAAAACCTTGCTTCGTCCCAAGATCTCGTCAGAGTCAGTCTGTCATTATGGCATCCAGCCCATCTTGGAAGGTAGGGGAAATAGTCTTCAAAACTTTGGAAGGCCAGGATGTTGTCCACCGATCAGCATGCTCAGATTGTCTTCAGGAGAGAGATCAGGAGACGATCAGAGCATACTGCTTGGAATGTCGAGTTTCACAATTACAACCAAGCTTTTTTCAGATTGGGGAGTGTGTGGCCTAGTGGTTAGGATTCGTGACTCGTGATCAGAGGGTCCGGGGTTCGAATCCAGCCGCTGGCCATATATTGTGTCCTTGGGCAAGGCACTTCACCCCCACTTGCCCCTCTCCACCCAGGAGTATAAATGGGTACTGGCATTAGCTGGGGAGTAATCCTGCGATGGACTGGCATCCCATCCAGGGGGAATAGAAATATTCTCAGTCGTTTCATGCCAAGGAAACCGGAGATAAACACCGGCCTGATGAGCCACATTGGCTCGGGACAGACTTTACTTTTTACTTTTTTTTCAGAAGCACACTTCTTCTCAAAAAAGATTATTCCAATCTCAAAAGAGATTATTCCACATGCTGTTACCATAAACCTCACCAGTAAACACTACCACCATGCAAAGTTTCAAATCTTTTTATGCCTCAGTTTGTAGGCAGCGGGCTGTTAAATCTTTTAGCAACTTCATGCTTCAACTGGTAAAATATGTGGACTTGAACTGCCCTATTTGTTTATCATCACGTTGTTTAGGCCAAAGGTCGCCATAGTTTTATTAGGATTGACAATTCCACCAAATTATCTTTAGAATCCACCGTAACATTTATTTTAAAAAAATTACGTTTCCCCCAAAAATTTCAAGCACCAGTATGCAACTATAAATATATGAAAAAATTATTATGTATATTTATTTAATCAATTGCTCTCACACTCCAACAACAGAACCCTTCAAAATTGACTTTAAACTGTACCAGAAGTAGGGCTCTTTTTTATTCCTAACTGTACTCTAATTTTGACGCAACTGTACTCTAATTTTTACCAACAGAGACTAAATTCCCAAGACTCCCCTGGAATGATCAAGCCCTTCCGTCCAGCCAACCACCAACTGAACCGAGCAGCCAGCTTTCCACCCCAGAATGGGTAAATACCAAGCTTGTTGTTCCACTGGGATAGCTGTTTCTGACTGGTGTTCTAAAGTTACGCTGAACCAAAAAAATTATAAAATTTCGACCGCGATGGATTATAATTTCAGACAGGTTAACTGTGCATGTCTTTAATTTGCCGTTGACTATACTCTGGGGTCATTCGTGAAGTGCCGTAGCCTCGTGGTCTGGAGCATTGAATTCATGGTCTGCGGGTAATTCTGCATGTTGAGGGTTCGAGTCCAGCCTAGGGTTATGGTGCGTGTGCCCTTGGGCAAGGCGCTTTGTCACTCATTGCTTCTCCCCACCCAGGAGTAAATGGGTACCTGTGAGGGCAGAGATAGTTATTATGGTTGACTTCAGGTACTTTGAGCTGAAATGGCTGTACACTCTCCTGATAGGAACACGATCTGTCGGATAATCATTTGTTATTTCAATTTTATTCTTTTTCACAGTGCATCCTATAGAGAAACTGGAATGATAGAGAAAATGTTGGTAAGTGTCCAATATTAGCGCTTCTGTTTTTGATCCGCCGTTTTGTGTCCGAACAGTATGTATCACATTATTATGCGGATATTTGTTCAGCAAAAGTCAGTTGTGTTGAATCGTGCTATCCACACTTTGTTGCTTTTCTGTTTTGGTCACATTCTTTGCAACTACAACATATAACTCGCATCGTTTAATTGGAATACTTCTTGTAGGAGGGGCTATACATTGTGGGGGCAGGGCATGTCTGTTGCATCAACAACATATAACTCGCATCGTTTAATCGGAAAACTTCTTGTGGGAGGGGCTATACATCTTGGGGGCGGGGAATGTCCGTTGACTTCACTTTTGTATTCCCATCCTGTGTTAATATTTTCACATTCTGTTTATTGTCCTCAGGGTTCCTATGGATTCATTACATGCTGTGACCGAGAGGGTCGTCTGTTTTTCCATGGAAGTCACTACGATGGTAACATGGAGAACCTAAAAATAGGGGGTAAGTTACAACAAAATGTTTTTTGGTCACAATTGACATTTTTTTAAAAATCGAAGAATGGGTGAAATAAACATAATTTAGCTTTTTTAACCCTCCTATTGCAAACATACATCCTGTGCCAAGTTGTCCTTGCAGTCAAAATCAATCAGGTGACTGTTTTCAACCCTTAAGAATTCCCAGCCCACATAAAGCAGGATTGACTGCCTTGGACTGCTTAAGTAACTTGATACAGCTATGCTTTGACTCCGGGTGAGTGATAAAACAGCTGCGACCACAACTTGCCTGCTTTGTCTGTTGACCCAGTTTGACTAGTCACAGTGCTTGCTTGACATATGATCTGACTGCTGGTGACTAGCCTTTGTTAAAAGTACAGCAGGGGAAGTGGAAGTGAATTTTGACTGTCTGTGACTGCTTAAATAGCAGGAGGGTTAAGTTTAGGTGATAAATTTTGTATTAGAATGCCCTGGTCCTATGGTGACATTGTCTAACTCACGTCAAACCCTGAAAGGAACATTGTGTTTGTGTTCTTAGGCAAGACACTTTACTACAATTGCCTCTGTCCATCCAGGTGTATTTATGAATATCTTAATGGGTACAGATCAGATTGCACTGATCTTTAGCTCCTGAAGAAAACCGGACTCTTGGTCTGATGAACAGGGGCAACAACAGTGAAGCGCTTTGATACATTGATATAATTATTTTTTCCTTTTCTTGACTCCTTTGCAGACCCGGTAGAATTTGAGACCATCCCCGACTGTCGGACCGGTAAACCCATCGCTAGCAAGATCATCAAACTCAGCCCAGGGACCATCTCCAACGAACTTATTTCCGAAGAGACGTTGTCGGGCCTCGTCGTGCAGGAAGCTAAGCCAAGCCGGCTGAAAACAGTAAGCAAAACTGTGGAAATATGTGGATTGAAAGACTTATAATAATCCAAATAATAATAGTCTGTATTTACTTGTATAAAGCACACGTATCCACCAGTATTGGTGCTCAAGGCGCTACATCATTATTACCCTACTCATTGGGCCAATGAGACATTCCAAAGGTAACCTTTTTCTGCTATGCAATTTTTGTTTCTGTTTGTTTCGATTTTGTTTACAGCCAGCCGGTTGTCCAACGACTGCAGAATACGGACAAGTTGCCTATGAAATAAACGGCGTAAGTTAGCTTTATTTATCTCTTATATCAGGGAAATCCACGCACTGCCACCCTGAATTCCCCAAAAGAACTAATGTCATGGTAGCTGAAGAAACCTGTACACTGAAGAAGGTCAAGAAATTCCTAGTTTTAACAGATGGTAGGGTGAAACTTGTAATAAAGATTTTGCGAGAAAATTCATAATATTGGGCAGAGAATAAACATCCCAATCCAAATTCTGTTACAGGAAAGCTTCTTCCTTGCATACGGGATTGAAGACATGTACGACAAAGGGCGCCCTCTCAAGAAAGGCGACAAGGTGTCGTTCTTTCTTGCTACTGACAAAAGGTAAGCGAGGAAATGTTTTCTGCGCTAAGCAAATTTGTAGGTAAACAAAAAGTTGACTCCTGGTCATATTATATTGGAAAGTCTGAGTGTAACATTCTTGGTTAAAAAAAAGAAAGATAAAAACTGCCAGTAACCTGTTTTTGCAGAGGAAACATTTTCTGCGCTAAGAACATTTCTAGGTGGAGTAGCCCAAAGAATGTTGGCTCCATCTACTATTATTTAGAAAGATCTGAGAGTAACACATTCCTGTCTTCCAAAAGATTAAACAACAGGAAAAAGTTTGGCCATGGAACTAATTTGTGTGCTAAGCAAATTCTAGGTTTAAGTAAGTAAAGTAAAGTCTGTCACGAGCCAGTCTGGCCCATCAGGCCGGTGTTTATCTCCGGTTTCAGTAGCATGAAACTACTAAGAACATTTCTACTCCCCCTGGATGGGATGCTAGTCCATCGCAGGTTACTCCCCAGCTAATGCCGGTACCCATTTATACTCCTGGGTGGAGAGAGGCAAGTGGGGGTGAAGTGGCTTGCCCAAGGACACAACATATAACCATTGGCTGGATTCGAACCCCTGACCCTCTGATCATGAGTCACGAACCCTAACCACTAGGCCACACTCCCCACAAATTCTAGGTTGAGCAAGTTCATAAAGTTTGCCCTTGGTCTTATTATTTAGGAAATTCTCTACATTGACAGAATAACACATTCCTGTCTTAAAAAAAGAAGAAGATAGGAAACAGTAAGCTGTTTTGCTGAGAAAGAATTTTTTGTGTGTAGAAAATTTCTAAGTTGTGCAGTTCAATAAAGTTGGTTCCGGGTCTTATTATTTAGGAAATAACGTTTTCCTTTTTTTTTTAATCCCGGAAGAAATGGCAACGTACAGGCTCGTAGGATCCGCATGGTGGAACCAGTCCAGGTGCCGATGTACCAAGGCGTGGTCTGCTCCATGAAGGAGTCCTTTGGATTCATCGAGAGAGCTGACGTCGTCAAAGAGGTAACAGGCTGTGTGCCTGAACTATAGAGGGCAGTATTTGGTCTACTCATGTTGGCATAGTGGGGACGCAATTATTTTTTCTGCAACCAAGTATAGTCAAGGAATGGTTCTCGGACTTAACTTCCTTTAAAAAAAAATCTTCCAGAGCCATGCATCAGGAAAAAAAAAAGGATTTCACAATTTAAAAAAGAAAATTCACTTGTGAGAAAGAAAAAACAAAAATGTAAAATTACTGGGACTCGAACGCGCAACCTGCAGCATTGTGGCCACCGACCTAGCGTAGAAGACCATAGTGATGTTATGCTTTTTGCCATGGAATCTGAACTATTTGAAATTATTTCAAATCACATGACATATTTATTCAGTCATGTGATATGTATCACGCATGCGTATGAAAATAAATGAGTTTACTAGCCTGCAGAAGAAACAAATTGCACCATGAGAAAGTTTTAATCGAGAACTTTGGTTAATCATAGCAGGCATGCAACTTTTCCTCGGATCAGCTAATTTCCTTTTTTTAAAAACTTTCCATGTGTGCTTTTAAAAATAAAAAAAAACACTTCACAAAGTCTGGGAAAAATTTGAATTTCCTCTTTTTTTCCCCAGTTGCATGCCTGTCATAGGTTGACTAACTGTCATCAAACATTCTGGTCAGATATTTTTGATAAAAGTCTGGATATATGTTTATACTTCTGATGAAAGACCAAAACAGTTTTTTAATACGAACTGATTTTTTTCTCCAGATTTTCTTTCACTACAGCAGCTTCACAGGGGACATCAACGACCTTCTACTTGGGGATGACGTGGAGTTTGAAGTCGGATATAGAAATGTAATTCCTCAGTTTATTTTTTGTCCCAAACTCATGTCTGTCAAATTTTATGTACCCACTTTTCTTTATTCTTTATCTTTGGATAATGTGTATCCCAATATTCCCGATAGGCATTTCTTTGTTTGCATTGTCCCCCAAACAATTTTATCATTTCCAATCTTGCTGGCTTGTCAATTTTGTCCCCATTTTCTCGTAGTCGCTTCAGCTCTGTAGTGACAGCCCGCAGGTCCAAGTTGACTCTGTTCTAAAAATAAAGTATATATTTAAAAACCAAAGGTCCCGACACCACTCTGTCAATTTCTTTGTTTCACTTTTGAAAATAATTATTACGATCCTAGTCAGTTTCCCAAAATGTGGTGTATTTAAGAAAGAAAAAAATATTGTGAATTCAGATGTTGAAGTTCTGTACAATTATCACACTACAAACAAACCTTACAATTTATAAGCTAATTAATTAAAAAGGTAAATATTGTAACTCAATGAAAATATCTTGTTAAAAATGGGTTTTAAGACAGGAATAATAAATCTCAAGAACTGTTTACATAATGGGTGCAGCTTCTAGCTTATACCAGAAACAGGGAGCCTATAATTTAATTAAAACCTCTTTTCGCAACTTAAATCTGTCCATTAAATTTGTTTTCTGTGACAATAGGACAAAGAAGTAGCCATCAACATTAAGAAACTGGCCACCGGCACTGTCATCTTTGAGGACATCGGCGACAAGTTGGAGGAAGGGACCATCTCCAAGACCATCCCTCGCTTCACAACCAAGAAAACTAACGACCCATTCCCCGGCAAACTCATCTACGTCCTGGAAGATGGAGGGTATGTCACAAAAGATACTGAGTTGCTCTCCCATCTCCATGTTCAAGTTTCACTCAGGAAATATAATTTTTTTTCTCACTAACGGATGTTGATTAACTCACTATTTTTGTAAGCATACGAAAGCTATTCACTATTGAATTAGATATCAAACAAAAAATTCACCCATATTCAATTATAGAATTATTAAATTGCAAATTCAAATTATTTGGTGCTCAAAAATAATTTAGCAACCCAAAATTAAAGCCTTTTTCGGAGAGTTGCAGACACTCAGAAAATAGAAAATATAAATACTAAGTGAAAAATTGCAGCCATCCAACTGGCATGAGATTTTTCAGACTTTAATCTGAAATCAGACTTTTTGATTTTGAGAGAAAGAGATCATCTGTTCAGAAAGAAACACATCTTTTAGACCTTTCATGCAATTTTTAGACCCTGTTTTAGATTGACAATATTTGTACCAAATCTGAGCCATTGCAGGCTGTGTCGCCAATTTACGAGAACTTTTTATCATAATTTATAAATATGTTGTTTTTTTCTCCAGTAAACGTGAGCTTTCCTACGGAGACAAAGACATACTGAATGCATACACACTCTGCGTCGGCGACATTGCCAAGTTTAACATCGCGACCGACAAACGCGACCATCTACAGAGAGCCACCAATCTGGAGTTGTCGGAGAAGACCTTTAAGGAAGGAAAAGAGGTCCGGGAAACGGTGAGTCTGCAACCAGACCATTCTTTTCATGTGGTGGTTGGGTGTTTAGATGTCTATACTTGTGGGTAAGAGGTCTTGGGTTCGAGTCCCACTCAACTATCTTGTGTGTTTTATCTCGCAAACCGTCGAACAGCCTTTACTATACAGTGCTTTTGAAATTTTGCCAGTGAAGGGCCAAGAACCACTATTGAGGTCATATCGATACTTAAAAATACTATCGCATTAAAATTAAAAGGGTTTTTTTTTGGGGGGGGGGGGCATTTTGCTGGGATAGCCCATAAAGGTGTTTTTTTTCTGTAAAAGTTGAAATGTTTGACCTTTAGTTTGTGACCTTTGACCCAACAGGGTATCATCGCAGCAGTCAAGGATGGCTTTGGATTTATCAAGTGTGTGGATCGAGACGCCAGGATGTTCTTTCATTTCAACGAAATGCTGCATTCTGTAAGTTACTTTACTATTGATAATAAAAGAACTAATTTTGTTATTGTGTTAAAAGTACAATTCCGTGATTTCTTATTCAATTTCCAAGAAGTACTGAATCCTAAAAGGTCTGAAGGGTCTGAAGGTCTGAAGATGATTGTATTTTTAGTTAATTTTTTTTAGGTGGGAGAAAAACCTTGGAAACATTCTTGGTAGATCTACAGAATTGGGTACTGATCATAAAAATCTATCTCCGTTTTGGGCTAAATCTGAATTGTAGAGATTTTATCAGAGAATTTGATATTCTAAATACTAAGGTAATTTCTATTTTTGTTTGTCTGCAGGGTGACATCCACATATCGGATGAAGTGGAATTCTCTGTCATGACGGTCAGTATTAAATCTACCTGTTACCCAGAACCTTCCAGATGCATTCCATTTCAATACTTCTCTTCAAATAATTCATCTCATCTTTGTTTACTTCCCATCCATTTTCTTCCCTACTAGGCACAAAAACCAGTCACTTTGACCAATTTCTTGCAAACTGGGATTTTGGGAAAGGACACTGAATAAGCTTTCCATTGATGTATAGAATATGGGAATCAGACAAAATCTGACGGAATGATAGTTTTTTTCAGTTCCCAATTGTCAGGCTTCGAACTTTTTAAACATCAAGAAATTTGCCATTAAAGTTTCCTCAAATGAACTCCTTAGGAAATGTGCAATTAACATCATTGAAAGTGAAATATATTCATTAGTATAGCTTCTAAGGCCTAAATCTTTGTTTTGATAATTTTTGCCTGTACAATGTATTATAAGTTGTATTTCAAAATAAAGCTGTGCAACTTCTGACTGGTTTTATGCTGGAGAGTCATGTATTTATACTGAATTAATCTTCCAGGACCCAACTCAGCCCCAGCGGCAGATTGCTACTAGGATCAAGAAGCTCCCCAAAGGCACCGTCACTTTCCAAATAGTCCTACCCCAGCGCCTGAAGGGATCGGTGGACAAACTGCCTGATAACTTGGTAGGTTCCAAACCACAACTGTAAAGAAACTCTGGTAGATGTTCCCTGGTTTTTAGTTTCCAATTTTTCAGTTGCAGTTATTCACACGTGTGGCCGGTGTAAAAGAATGGTAATACTAACGTTTTGGGGCTGTTTTTTTCTCCAAACAGTGGGGGCGCAGCCCGGGTAAAAATCGCGACCACACGCCAGAACTGGGCAGCATCAGCTACCAAGATAACGGAAGTACAAAGTCCGTCAAATTTCACGCCAAGGATACGGACGTGCGCATCCCACCAGATCTGGGTGATGAGGTAGATATTAAAAGACAACATTGTACTGTGGAGTGCTGTGGCCTCGTGGTCTGGAGCATTGAATTCGTGGTCTGCGGGTAATTCTGCAGGTTGTGGGTTCGAGTCCAGCCTTGGGTCATGGTGCGTGTGTCCTTGGGCAAGGCACTTTGTCACTCATTGTTTCTCTCCACCCAGGAGTAAATGGGTACCTGTGAGGGCAGAGATGGTTACTGTGGTTGATTTAGCTTCCTTGCGCCTAACAGGCAGCATTGAGCTGTATACTCCCCAGGGAGCTGAGAAGGTTTCAGGAGTGTTTGCCCGTTAAAACAGGGAAAATAATAATTGTAAAGCACTTTGATACCCAGTTGGGGCCTAAAACGCTACATAAATGCCTGCTTATTATAATTATTATTATTATTATTATTACTGAATTATTATTAACTGAAAGTTGTATTGTTCTGTTGCATATTTATTTGGGCATACTGAAGATGGAGGCTCTGTTAGCACAAAATTCTGTGCTTAGCAGGGCCGTCAAATTGGTTCCTGCTAAGAAGATGCTTAGCAAGTTTTTGTGTGATACTCCTCAGGTGGAATTCAACATTGCCGAGGTGAAGAGAGATGGGTCTCGCCTAGCTGTCACCATCGTGGTGCTGAACCGTAGCGCTAAGACCAGCAAGCAAGGCTACATCGCTGTCTTGAAAGAGAAGTTTGGATTTATAGAAGCAGACGATCACGACCACGAGGTTTTCTTTCACTACAGGTAGCAGCTTAAAGGGAAAATACAACATTTGCAAACATCAAAAAACGAAATGGTCAAATTATCACGAAATACCTTACTAAATTGTTAGGGAATGACAGTCTAAAACATCCTTTAAAATCGTGGCTCCTGGTGGGCTGACATTTTCAAGAAAAACTGTATTTTTCCAACGCTGGTCGGCCGACCAGCGTTGGAGAAAACTGGCTTTTTTCAAAAACTGTTCTTAATTTTTCATATTTAGTTATTCTGACTTTTCTTTGCAATTGATCACACACCTGTGAAGGGGTACAAGCCTGCTAGACTGATTCTCTGACCTTACAATTCCCCAAAGTGTATTAATTGCTTCGTTTCATCTTAAGTGGGGTCAGGGAACCAGACTACAAGAACATGATAGGTTTTCTTGGTTTTTCCAGCATCTTCAAGCCCAAAACATGAAACAAGTCAGTTTAACAATATTTTATGTAACATACTTATCCTCCAATCCATTTATTTCTGAAACTGTCAGCAAAAGCCAATGTTGTACAATCCCTTTAAGATATGTACTTGACGAACCCAAATGAGATTTGTGACATCTTTTACAATCTGTTACAATCTGTTAGATCTCTGGTTGGCATGAACGGATTTCCATGGCATCTTCACTGATTATATACAAGAGTATAATTAATATGCTCCATCAAGATGAAATGCTCATATTAAGTAATTTTTGAGAAATTGAATATAATCATGATGCATTTTGATTGACTTTATTCCTGCAGCTCAAGTTTGTCTTCATGATTTTTAATGGGATATGCAACTGCAACCACGTACGTGGTATGATGTAGAGGCTTTAACCAGGTTTTAACCTTCCAATGTTGTCCGTTGTGGATGAAATAAAATTGAAATTCTTTCTGCCAACAGCGAATTTTCTGGCGATGTGAACGATCTGGAGGTTGGAGATGAAGTGAGTTACTCTCTCATCCGCAAAGGACCAAAGATCAGCGCTGAGGAGGTCACTAAGCTACCCAAGGGAACCATCCCTGTAGAGGTCAGTTGCTCAGTTTTCATGTTTTTTTTAAAAATTTTCAAATTTAATTTGTTATTAAACAAATTGACTTTTTCATGCGATGACACTTCCATACCATGTTCCCTGTATAAGTAAAGTCTGTCATGAACCAATATGGGGCGAAACGACTGAGAATATTTCTGTCCCCCTGGATGGGATGCTAGTCCATCGCAGGTTACTCCCCAGCTAATGCCGGTACCCATTTGTACTCCTGGGTGGAAAGGGGCAAGTGGGGGTGGAGTGGCTTGCCTCATAACCTATTCAAACTCCAATGAGCAGGCTTTTACACTCACGCTAAGTTTCCATACAAATTTTTTAATGTCGGAGCTTGCTTTAGTTTCTTAAGTACTTTGCATTTGGGCCTCAAACATGAAACAGTGCTTCATCTCTTATTTAGAAATATTCATTATAATATATTACAAAATTTATATTTGTGTTATATAGTTATCATATTTATTTCTCCATTGCTTGATTTTAAAAAAAATTTTGCCTCAATTTCATATCCATTGTGTATAAGGCCAATCAATACTTTCAGGAAAACAAATTCCCACTGTTTTGTTCGGATCTTAAATTAGAGAAAATTTTCACAAATTTAAGAAAAAGTTTCATTGTCTATTTTTTTTGTCTTCTGGCACAGCCCAAGAAGCCGGGTGTTCTCCAAGGTAAAGTCATTCGTCCGTTGAGGAACATCGACCCTCAGCAAGCTGAATATAACGGTCTCATTCAAGTCATTAACGAAGGTATGAGATTGCGCCCTCTATAGATGAATCCAATGACCACTGTTACAACTTACAAGACATTGCTAAGACCGCATCCGAACTACTTGGCTGTGGCTTAAAATTACACACGTGTCAATGGGAAGCGGCTGCAGTCAGCTGAAGCCGCTTTCCATTGACATGTGTGTAACTTCAAGCCGTAGCAAAGGAATTTGGACGTGGCCTTACGGTGGTGGCTCACATGTGTGTGCTGGTCATGGGCATTCTTAAATTGGAGGCGTTTATAAATGCATTATTGGCCACCTAGTGGTTGCAAGTGCATTGAGTCTGCACGTACAGAATCATATCGGTAATAGCTTTTAATGTAGGTCGGTGAATTAGTCTGTAGACTTTAAGGATAATTTTTTTCACATTGCATTGATGGTGTTTATTTGAACGATAATTTTTCGCTACAAATTGTAGTATTCCATGAATTTCCTGTTCTACGCCAATTTTCATTTGACCTGGACTGTCCTATTCATGCCGCGTTCTCGTTCTTCTTTAGATGAGAGCGAGGGCGCTGTTTACCCCTACTGCATCGTCAGCCTATCAGACAAGCACGACTTCCTACAGAGAGGCGACCCGGTGCAGTTTCAGCTTTGCTCGTCCGTAGACAACGGCAAGGAGTGGGCCTGTAACGTGGTCGCCATCAGGAAGATTCTGCGCACTCATGTGGACTGCATCAAGGGACATGTATGTGTACAATTCAAAACCCTAGCCCCCACCCATCACAAGTCCCTGAAAGTCCTCACAAGTCCATCACAAGTCCCTGCAAGTCCTCACAATTCCATCACAAGTCCTCACAAGTCCATCACAAGTCCATCACAAGTCCTCACAAGTCCTCACAATTCCATCACAAGTCCCTGCAAGTCCTCACAAGTCCCTGTAAGTCCCCGGAAGTCCATCACAAGTCTTTGCAAGTCCTCACAAGTCCATCACAAGTCCCTGCGAGTCCTCACAAGTCCATCACAAGTCCCTGCAAGTCCTCACAAGTCCATCACAAGTCCCTGCAAGTCCATCACAAGTCCATCACAAGTCCATCACAAGTCCCTGCAAGTCCTCACAAGTCCATCACAAGTCCCTGCAAGTCCATCACAAGTCCATCACAAGCCCATACAAGTCCATCACAAGTCCATCACAAGTCCCTGCAAGTCCATCACAAGTCCATCACAAGTCCCTGCAAGTCCTCACAAGTCCTCACAAGTCCATTACAAGTCCCTGCAAGTCCTCACAAGTCCATCACAAGTCCCTGCAAGTCCTCACAAGTCCATCACAAGTCCCTGCAAGTCCTCACAAGTCCATTACAAGTCCCTGCAAGTCCTCACCATTCCATCACAAGTCCCTGCAAGTCCTCACAAGTCCATCACAAGTCTCTGCAAATCCCAAACAATCCATCACAAGTCCCTGCAAGTTCTCACAAGTCCCTGCAAGTCCCTGCAAGTCCTCATAAGTCCATCACAAGTCCCTGCAAGTCCTTACAAGTCCATCACAAGTCCTTGCAAGTCCTTACAAGTCCATCACAAGTCCTCACAAGTCCATCACAAGTCCCTGCAAGTCCATCACAAGTCCCTGCGAGTCCTCACAAGTCCATCACAAGTCCCTGCAAGTCCTCACAAGTCCATCACAAGTCCCTGCAAGTCCATCACAAGTCCATCACAAGTCCCTGCAAGTCCCTGCAAGTCCTCATAAGTCCATCACAAGTCCCTGCAAGTCCTCACAAGTCCATCACAAGTCCCTGCAAGTCCTTACAAGTCCATCACAAGTCCTCACAAGTCCATCACAAGTCCCTGCAAGTCCTCACAAGTCCATCACAAGTCATCCAGTCCCAAGTCAAGTCATAAGCTATTCAAATGAACTTTGTCATGGTTCATCCACGCTTACTTGTAAAGTCAGATACATAGCTGTAATTTTTTAACCCCCATAGTTTTGAGTGTTAATAGTTTTAGACTGACATTTAGGGTTTCCTTTCCCGCAGTTTGGTTTCTTGAACTACGACCCCGGCGAAGGCAAGAAGCTGTTCTTTCACATGAGTGAGGTACAGGACGGATTCGACTTGCACCCCGGAGACGAGGTTGAATTTGTGCTGATCCAGAATCAACAAAATGGCCGCCACAGTGCCATCAACATCCGTCGACTCAGGTGGGCATGGGTGGCATTATGATTGATATTTTCCATCAAATTTTTCGTTTTGAAACTGCCCATAAGGAGACCCCCTTTGAGTAAACAAAAAAAATAAATAAAGTACAGAAATCAATTAAATTGAGTTATTTTTAACTGAATGTGTCCTCTTATTTCAACAGCGAGATCCAACGTCCAGGACACCTCAGTCGTCTCAAGAGTATGCCAAGTGAGGAGAAAGGACCGCGTATGATCGCCACCAGAGTACCCAGAGGTCCCGATGGAACCAAAGGATTCAGCCTTGCCCGCACAACCCAAAATGGAGACAACGAAAAGGAAATCTAAAAAGAAAGTTCCTAAAATCCTCAATCCGAAAAAGGGTTTTCAGTTTTGTGGAATGGTTTTGTAGTTGTGAGTTGTAATTTTGGGAGTAGGGTTGAAAAAGGTCAAGCTTGCGTGCTGGCTGACGGGACTGATATTTCGAAGTTGAAGAATTGGGGAAGACGGAACATCATTGTGAGGGTTTATGGGGTTTGTTTTAAAAACTCATGAAAAGTAAATGTGATGCAGAATCCCGGTGAAAATGTCTTTGAGTTGATATGCAAATAGACATTTGTTGTCGTGGTTGAGTGAAAAATACCAATTCAACTTTCAGACCAACTGAGTGTTGAAGCAAGGTAGAAAACGTGAAGAAAAAAAATATAAAAACTTATGTACGAAAAAGCAAAGAAAAAACAACAAAATATTGAAACGAAATCTGACAAATAAAAAAAAAAAAGAAGAAAAACTTACAAAAAAAAAGAAAAAAAAAAAACCAAGAAAAATTTAACCAAATAAAAATTAACCAAAAAAAAAAAAAAAAGAAAGAAAAAGTTAGATATTTACAATGAATTAAGAAGGAAAAGAGGACTACTGCCAAGAAGGTATTATTGTGAAGAAGTATTAAATTAAAAGAATGAATAATACATTTTTTTGCGAGAAATGTTTTTAAAAAATTGCGCGCCCCGATTCTGCCCAAATGCTTTCATCGAGCTCGTGGCCAGAACTGGCATTGATATGCCCCTTGTCAAATTGGGTCAGGCTCCCGGAAGACACAGTTAAATTTTGTATACCATTAGTCAGGAAATCTTTGGCACCCATCTAAATCACAAGTCAATCAAAAGTCAATCACAAGTCAAATCACAAGTCAAATCACAAGTCAATCACAAGTCAGTCACAAGTCAGTCACAAGTCAAGTCACAAGTCAATCACAAGTCAGTCACAAGTCAATCACAAGTCAATCACAAGTCACAACTCAATCACAAGTCAGTCACAAGTCAGTCACAAGTCAATCACAAGTCAATCGCAAGTCAATCACAAGTCAATCACAAGTCAGTCATTAGTCGATCACAAGTCAAGTCACAAGTCAATCACAAGTCAGTCACAAGTCAGTCACAAGTCAAGTCACAAGTCAAGTCACAAGTCAATCACAAGTCAATCACAAGTCAGTCACAAGTCAATCACAAGTCAGTCACAAGTCAATCACAAGTCAATCACAAGTCAATCACAAGTCACATCACAGATCAAGTCGCAGTGGATGAACAGTGACAAAGAATTGGCTTTGTTACATGTCATCAGAACAGCTCGTCTCGTCATTTGGACCTCTGAGGACCTCTGATTGACTTGTAAAGATTTGACTACATCCATTTTGATAGACCTAAAGACATAATGACGTCACGCTTTGTTTACATGTGCGCTTTCCTATGAGAGCCAGGTGGGACGCGTAGCTCTTGTAGCAAGGCACACACTTAAACAAAGCATGACGTCATTACGTCTTGGGTCTATTCAAAATATAAGTGGGTCCTGAATATACGAAACTGATCAAAGTGGTTGCAGTGTCCTTGAAACAACTAAATTTGGCAATACGATTACTTTTCGACAGGTAACTTGAATCCCCCCCCCCAAAGAAAAACGCCTAAAACAATTCAAATATTGTACTTATGAAATACATGTATATCAATAGGAATAATGGTTATTGCCAAACAACATCTCATTGTGATGGGTCTCTCTGTGATATGATATTGGCAGTTGTTACTCAAGACACATGGGGGAAAACAACTTGTTGAAGTCATTTTGGGAAATTGAAAGTACAGTTGACTCTCATTAATACAAACTCTGTTAATACAAATTGTGGTCATAGTGAACATAAGGCCTTGGCCCCGACTGTGCATTTATATGCACCGATGCTAATAAAATTCTGATACAAACAAACTCAGGTCTGGCTGAGTTTGTATAAATGAGAGTCGACTGTAGATGACGTGCAATTCTTACAGTCCGTGCAAGGTATCAATTGCATTTGTTTTCAGTATTAGTGATGCTGACATTTTACCATTGGGAGAAACTGTGAAAATGAACCAGTGGCGCACCCAAGGGTGGAGGGGGGGGGGGGCTCGGGGGCTTGAGCCCCCCCCCCCCCAAGAGGTTGTCAATTTTTTTCTTTTGGTATTTTTTTTTTTTAGTCCCACGATTTGGCCTTGGTGATATGAATGTGGCCTGTTTTCGAGTAGTATAATAGGGGTGTAAGTGGTGCCACCAACATCAAAATAGGCCGCCACTCAAAAAAAAACCCAATTTTTTCTGCGGCCAAATTTTTTGGGAAAATTGTTCTGAAAAAAAATCAACTTTTAACAAATTTGTAAAATTTGAGCCCCCCCCCCAACCCAAATCCTGGGTGCGCCACTGAAATGAACCAAAATATCAGTTATGGATTCTTGGTCTAAAGTCTGAAATGTGAGATTTTGTATGAAATGAACATCAGTTTTAGAAGGGAAATGCTACAGAAGAAAACCAAGTTGAATTCACAAGAGCGGATGCCAGTCTCATCATGGTACCAAATACTGACCAGTCAAGTCACGGACTCCTTTGTCTTAACCCCTATAAATGATATGCATGATCTATTGATCAGACTTTCAGGTCAAATTTATCAATAATTTGGTCGGAAAATTATGCCAAAATGAAGTCTAAAAGAGATTGAAATAAACCAACAACTCTATAACATTACAAAGTGTCTTTTGAATAGTAATTATCGTTTGTGTTTGTCACCCCCCCCCCCCCCCCCCACAATAAAGTGCTTGTCTCAGATTCTAAATATTTTACACTGATGTATGTCAAAATATGACTGGAATGCTATTTAATAAAAAGGTCTTGCCCTTCAATAATAATTTGGTAGTTTGGTATTTCAAATTAATAATTTTGTCATATTTGGCACCTCATAGATATTTGAATAGGTTGGCCAATAAAATCCAAATGTTATTCCAAATTCTTATTTTTAGTGGTTATAATGATCTCTTTCTTCGTACTTTATTTCAACCATAAATTCAACAAAATGAATCTTGGAAAACAAAATTACATATGTAAACTCTAAAGACAGTTGATTTTATCAATGAAACCTAGAGCAAATTACTAAAGCAATTTTTGTTTCTTAAACAAACAAAAAATGAGTATACTGGATGATAAAACGACATGCTTGAAAAATAAACTGCTGTTGAGAGACTACGCACGTCTGGAAACAAGGCTACGGGAAGGTTTCCGTAGGTGATTGACCTAACTTTGACCTCGCCGGAAGTACAATGAATCAGAAGGAGGCAATTTTTGCATGACGACAGTTTTGCAGTGTAAAAAGTGCTACGTGTCGCTTCAAAGTGTGGTAGGTTTGACAGTTCGAGCAACCTTAAAAGTGGGAAATTATGGGAGTGCTAGGCTTCAGTTAATCATTTTAAAGCTTTGTATGTGGCGAAATTGGTTATTTCTTGCAATGTGATAACGAAATTCCGAGCTAAAAATCTGCAGGAGAACTGGGGGTTTTGTGTATGGTAGCCAGAAGCACATGTGCTTTCTGCACGGTCACGTCTAAAGTGTTGGGAGGCACCAGACTATATATTTTGCATTTTGTTTGTGATTGTGAATTTATTGGTTAGCCTTATCTTTACTTTAGGACACCTCTATTTTTTTACGAGTTCTTTTCAAAACTGACTTTTGCAGATGACTGTCCAGTACCAAAGTGACTTTTGCAGGCAAAAGCAGTCTTTTTGCTTCAGATAAACTCATGAGTCATGTTACTTAGTTGTAATTCTGAAAGCACTTTCAAAGAAAATGTGAGTTTTGTGACTTTCCTACCTTTTTTAGCAGTTCGCCATCTTGCTTTTTTAGTGTATTTTCTGTTTGTCATCGTCGTCTTTTACCCCTTTATTTCTCTCACAAAACAAAGCCCTGCCCTCTTCCACAAATTAAACCTGCTGATATTCAAGAAGAAGTCATTGCCAACTGTTAAAATGTGTGTCAAGAAATAACAGAATGTCACTTTTGAATGTCATTTAGTCAGCTGTTTTGGTGAGTCTTTTAACCTTATAATAAAGGAACGGGGTCCTAAAGGTAAGGGTTACCAATTTATTTACGCCCGGCGGTGAGAAACATTTCCAATTTTGTACTTGACTCTCCATACACTTTGTACCCAACTTAAAGGAAAAATACAAAATTTGCAAACATCGAAAAATAAAACTACCAAGTTGTTACGAAATACCTTACTAGGATGTTGGTAAATGACATGCTAAAGCATCCTGTAAAATTATGGCACCTGGTGTGAAGCCATTTTCAAGAAAATGGTATATTTGTGTACATTTCCAACGCTGGTCGGCCGACCACCATTGGAAAAACCTAACTATTTTTCAATTACTGCTCCAAATGTACCATTTTTTTAGTCTAAATTTTGTTTTGCTAGCTATTGGTTCCATGTTCATGAACGGGTGCAGGCCAGCTAGACTGGTTCCCTTACCTTACAATTTTCCGGTATTTTTGATCCATTTCATCTTTAGTGGAGTCAGGGAACCAGACTACTTGAATATTTTTGTTTTTCTTGGTTTTTCCAGCATTTTCGAACACAAAACGTCAAACATGTCAGTGCAACAATATTTGATCTATTATACTAACCCCCCAAATAGTTCATTTCTGAAAATTACAGCAAAAGCCAATGATGTACATTCTCTTTAACTGCTGAAGTGGCGTCTGGTTGCAACATTTGGAAAGATTCCCATATCTGGCCATCACTTGTCACCCTGTGCACAAACCCTGTGAGACTGGTCTGAAAATTTCTGTGTTTTCTTAGTAAATACTTCAATATTTTCCCTGCTAATTTAGACTTTTTGGGACATATTATCACTTTCTGATGGCTGATAGGTCACTGAAGGGAAAAATTAGTGATGGCCAGATATGGGAATCTTTCCCAACATTCTTTCCCCACTTTTTTTCATCATCAATTATCTTAGCCCCATAAATGTGGCCAATTTACTGGACGACCTCCGTAAATAAAGGCCACACTTGGAAGAGAACACCCGAAAATGTACAACTTTGTCAAGTTTTTATTTTTACATTTAGAGTTTGTAGTTTATTTACGCTTTAGAACTAGAAGCACACTCACTCTCTTCAGCTCTTTAAAGCGATAGAACAGTAGTCGCCCCTTTTTCAGACGTCAATTTTTTGTGCAGTTTCGTGTTGGAATTTAGATACGCTAACGTGTGCAAACGAACCTGGAAATTACACGTGATATGCACTATCGTTATTTTTTTCAAGGACCTGCTGGGCAAGGTTTGGGTGAGTCCCAGGGGGAATTAGTGTGGTACAGGAACAAAAATGGAACGTTCGACTTCAATTTTTTGTATATGCTCGTCCGCTCCATGTTGACGATTCCCTCCAGCCCTCCAACCCAATGATAAAGTTTAGGGTTGAGGTATCTCCAGCTTTTGAAAAGACATGAATCTGGGACTGAGAAACATTTCCAGTTTTGTTAAAAAATACTTTGAAAATGCACTCGTCTCTCCATAGACTTTGAACACAACCAAAGAAGTGGTGTCTGGATACTGCATTCGTTCCCGGTTTCCAACACATTCTGCATTCTACCTAATAAATAGTCAGATGAGGGTATGATATATTGATGAAATAAAAAATTGTTTTGTTTTCATTCTATTTCTGTACAGGACAATGTTCACAGCATTACATCTGCCAAGATAGCTCACGATTAGTGGGCCCCCTTTTTCAAGCATCCCGGGGTATACTATCATAACTATTGCCTAGCAACCATGGGGGCCAATAGCAGCAGTTTCAGCGAGCTGACCACCAATCCGTACCTGCAGAGGTTTGTGGGCAAAGAGGTGGTGCCGGAGACGGATCCGTTCTGGAACCAGTTGTTGTCGTTCTCCTTCCGGGTCCCCCACTGCGGCTCAGACGCCCGTCTGTTGGAAGAGTCCACAATCCACTTGTGTAAAACTCTTGGTACGTGCCTCTGCTTGCAGGGCCGCTGATTTTCCGCTTCAAAATGTCTTTTTGCCAATTCCAAAATATTGGAATGGCATAGTAACCAAAAAGTCTATGTCGTGTCCTGAAGGTTCAGTGAGAATAACTGAACAAAGTTTTCTGTCAAAACAATTTTGCTACAGAATTTAAAAAAAAAAATAAAAAATCAAACAAAACTGCCAAAATCTGTACATAATGCTTGAACTTGACAACGCTTACAGAAAATATGGTTATTTCCAATGTTTGTATCTCTTGTGTGCACACACTATATATATTTTTGTTCAAAAAAAGCTGGATTTCGTTTCTTTTGATTGTTTTCCGATGAAACAGAAAATCAGTGGCCCTATCCTTGTCTTGAGAAGATCTTTTTGGTTCTCTTATGTTGAACTTCAAAAGCACCAGATACCAGACATTGATGTTACACAGCTGTTATCATGGTCAAAATATTCTGGAAGTCAAACAGGCACAATCCCACATTTTATGTTTCTGTTTGCATTACCCTGTTTTTGGCTTTACAGCTCTGAACAACTTACAGTCTGGTAACCTGTGTACTCTCATCAAAGTCTTCTTGAAGAGGGTGGCAGAATTGAAGACTTCTACCCAGAAAGAAGAGTAAGTTTGTCTTTTTCTTCTCCTTGCTGAAAACATACCGGAAATTACAGTTTTGGTCGTACCGCAATCTGAAAAATTGGGGACTCAAAGCTGTGAGAGTCCCAAAACTTGGGATAGTAAAGACACGCAAAAACAAGAAAATAGACTGACACATGAAACCAGCCGTCCGACATTCTCTAGTCCTGCATGACAAGAGAAAAGATCCGGTACCAGTCTCTTTTTGTATACATTTCCTCCATGTTCATGCCACCAGACTACGAAATAGTCTGAATTTCAAAAGGTTGCATATGCATCAGTCTAGTCACAGTCTTCAAATTCAAATCATGTGGCTTCACTCCCTGGTTCAAAGATTGAAGAAAATCTCCCTGTAGAATTTGAAGTGTGACATAAAACTTGGCTTGCGGTTTTCTGAAGACTTAAATTTCTTTTTGCTTTATGGACAATTATTGATTAAGGGTAGCCTGATTTTGTTTAGCAGGTTTTTCTGCACCTGGAGTCCCAGTCTGGCTGGTATTTATGTATTCTGATCCTATTTTTGTATCACTTCCGTCGCCCCGTCCTTCAGCCATGTCTTTGTCTGGCAGACCTACAACGCCCTCTTCATCATCCGGAGTTCCCTCAAATACTTCCTGGAGAATTTCTCGGAGGGGCGCATCATCCAGCACCTGTCGGTGGTGGTGTCTGACCCCTCCCGGACCGCGGCGTTCCTTGAGGACGGGCTGGATGGGTTGGACATGGCCGATAACGAGGGGAGGACCGTGGAGACTCTCTTGGAGGAGTTTCTGCACTCGCTGGTCACCCTTCTCGTCGAAGTGCCCGTCTTGTAAGTTCTTATGGTTATTAATGCCACTAGGCCTTTTTTTACACTATCCAAGATCTTTGTGCTCAGCCCAGGTCAAGCCCTGAGATTTTGGGAAACCTTCCTTGGGAACCACTCTAGCAAGAATCCAACCTGGCATAAACATGGGTCCAGCACTCCATTTTGTTAAAATTCAGCCCTGTTTAAGTCAAAGTTGAACGCCTCTCCTGGGTAGAAAATCCAAAAATCAGTGGCCGATCCTTGTACATACCTCATTTTAAATGTGAACGGTATGCCTTGTGTTCTATCGGACCTGGTTCTACTCCCAGTGGACATGTGCTGATTTCAACACAAGAAGCCAAGTAAAACACTTGCAGTAAAACCATGGCCACACCCTCGTACAGTTGAGACATCAAACCAAATATAAAGCAGGGGTGACATTTGATAGTTTCACAGATTCCTTTGACGCGTTCTTGTAAATTTTGCATCACTGTAGGAACTTCAGCTACGTGCTTCACCTCGAAGCTATCAACACACTGCTGATTGTCTTATCGGTTCAGATGTTCATCCCAAGGATAGCCCACAAGAGTCTCTTCTTTGACTGCATGATGCAAGGCAACTGGTAAGAATGGTCTCAGTTCCTCACTCATACCCAATAAGAGTAAAACTCAGCGTCATAAGGTTGGGTTACGCGTTTTGCTAGATGCGTGCGGCAGTGCGTACTTGAAGCTTCGCGTTCCCTTTCATGTATGCAAAAAATACAAGGATTCAAAGAAATGTTAAAAATGTTGAAAAATGACTTACGTTTGATAAGATAAACTTCTCAATTCTGTTGATTATGACAGAATATTATAAGACCACTGATAAAACTTCCTTATTGATCTTCAAATGTTTTGCTTGCGTGAGAAATGAAGAGGTTTCTACCTACCTTCCGTCAAGGAACGCCAAAATCACTCGTTTGGCGTTGCGTACGGCAAGCAAGCAGCAGTTGTACGTGTGTTGTCAACATATATTTGTGTGGCGTTCACGCGCCTATTGCAACACAGGTTCTTGCAAAAAATTCACAACTTATCTCTCTTTTAATTGAATAAGCTACACGCCTGGACCTGCTCAGTAGAAATTATTGCTCAGTGAATCAAAACATTGACATGAAAAAGTTAAGGAGTGATTACTTGAGTGAGGCACTCGTATTGACCAATTTTCTGGTTTATTTCCACAGTGCCAAAGACGCCCACATTTTGGTGAAGACCCTCCTGGATCAGTTTGTCAAGCACGAGGAGTGTCCATCAGAGTTACTGAAGCCCCACGAGTCCTCGCCTAGCTTCCTGTATGGAATCACTGCGGCAGTCGCAGGTACAACCAAACTCAGCCCCAGAAATTAATACAGCGAAACATTCCAACCCTTCTCAAAATTTTGAGTCCAGAGTTGTAACGAGATGTCATCAGCTATCACAAGTTACTGGATGAACAATGTCAAAGGAATGCATTTACAGTTCATTGGAATAGCTTGTGATTTGGCTTGAGGCTGGATGACTGTTGATTGACTTGTCTCAGTTACCACTTTGTTAAAGCCTTCCTAAGTGAGTTGGTATTTTCTGAAGCATCAACAAACTTCAGTGATTCAGTTAACTTGTATTAACCCTCCTATGCAAACATGTATTCTGAGCCATGCTGTTACTGGGGTCAAAATTGGTCAAGTGACCATTGGTGAAGGGCGGATCCAGAACACAATTTTTTGGGGGGCCAAAACAAATTTTGGTCCCCCCCAAAAAGTGGGTCAAAAAAAAATTACGGCGTGGGGTTCGGGGCTCGCTTAAGGGCCCGAAAAAGTTTTGGATTCTAGATGCTCTGTGGTGCGATCTGAGGCAATTTCTGACCACTTTAACCAATGTTTTTTTGAGGAAAAGATGGTGGTGTACTCATTGCCTGCCTTTATTGCGATGTCACATAAAAAAATAAAAAAATTGGTTTCGTTTTGGGGGGGCCATGGCCCCCTTTGGCTCCCCCCTGGATCCGCCCTTGCCAGGGGAAGTGGAAGGAAACTTTGACTGTTTGTGACCTTTTAAACAACAGGGGGGTTAAGAAACATTTATAGTTTTGGATGGAAAGGAGGTCTTCTCATCTCTGTTGAACAAAAAGATGCACCTCAGTGGTGACTGCAATGTAAAACATCCGTCACTGTTAGTGTTTGTCACCTTGAGGAATGTCTTGTTCATTTTTTTTTGTCATGCAGCGGGATTGTGGGCGGTCTTGACCTTAGGTTACGGGTCAAGAGGTCACAAAGCAGAGCCGGAGGACCGGGGCTTATTGGCCAATCAGAGCCTGCTGTTACTCATGGTTCTGACCAATCACTACACGCACGACAAGGGAGTGCACAACCCATACCGCATGGCGCTCTGCATGTTCTCCAATTCACAAGGTAAGCCATTGTGGAGATCTCTGTTCAAATTGAGGGCGAGAATTTAAATCTGACATTCCTTGAGGACCTGCTCTTTGGCAGTTCGGGAGCTAGGGACTCCGTGCACCAATACCCCCCTCGACGTTTACAAAGAGAAAGTTGGGACGGACCACTAAGAGGGACTGTTGAACGCATTGCCGACGATGCTGACAACATTGACGACGTCAGTTGATTTTAATTATCAGTAAATGAAACATTGAATTTCCCGTCAGGTACTACGAGTTGACACGAAAGCTGGGAGTGAAACATGGCCTATAACCACCAATCAAACCATTTTCTTTAAATATGTCTTTGTGTCGTAATATTGGTAGAAGAGAAAGATATGCCATTGGTCTTCCTCAGAATAAACAATTTAGGTACATTCAGAGGTAACTCCCAATCCAAAATGCCCAGTAAGTTAAAATAAGGGATGTGGTTTTGTCCATCACAAGTCCCTGCAAGTCCATCACAAATCCACCGGTTCCACTTCAATTCACGAGCAGTTCAAATAAGATTTGACAAAGGCATGTCTTTGTTGTTGTTCTTGTGACTGGACTTGTGATTTAGTTGTGATGGACTTGCAATAGACTCAACTACATCCATGGTTAGGATTATGGCTGCTCTGTTTCCATGCAAACAAAGTCTGTTAGTTATAATGCTTAGGATGCCATTGTGTTGATGTTTATTTCCTTTGTTCCTCTCAGACGGTGGCACCGCAGTGACATCCGGGGGCGCCATGCCCCCCTTCAAGACAAACTTTGCCAATCTGTACGAGGCGTTTTGCAGTCATCTCAGAGAGGACCAAGCCACGCTGCTCCTGTACTCCCTCCTGCATCAGAACCTCAACTTCAGGACCTACATCCTGTCCAAGACCAACATAGACCAACTGGTAGGTTTCATAAAAACCCTCCTTCTCTGGCTAGCAAATTCAACGAAGCCATCGCAGCAGTCAAAATAAACCCAGTGACTGTTTGTTAGCCGTTAAATTCTCTCTGCCGACATAAAGCAGGATTAATTGGTTGCGAATGTTTATGTAAAGTTGATACAGCTTGAACAATTCCACTGGTGTGTGGCAACCACAGACTCTGAGGCAGTTTGGCCTTGGGATTTTTTACCCTTCGGATCTTTGCTGTACTGGGCCTGCCTCTCACTTTGACAAGTGTTGTATATTATTCTGTTAAACAGGCTTCCTAAACAAAATACCCTAGCTGGTTAGGGTCATACAAGTTCGTATTCTTAACGTCGCAAATATTTGAATATTTCGACTGCATGAGAGAAGCGAGACATTTTCCACCCCTCATCCTGTTGATTTCTTATACTATCTTCTTGCTTCCAGGTGATACCCCTCCTTAAGATTCTATACTACGCCCAGGATCGCAACTTCCACCACATCTACATGGCCCTCATAGTGTTGCTTATACTCAGTGAGGATGATGCGTTCAACAAAAGCGTTCATGAACTGGTAAGCGAATAGTTCATAGGTTGCAGTGTGCGGACACTGGTTTTAGGTGTCTAAAAAAGCACACAGTGTACGCAATTGAATATGCACAAACTGTAGCAATTTCGCATGAGAGGGACACATCTGAACATTGCTGCATGGACGAATACTCCGTGTCCTTCAGTAACAGTGATGTTTTTCCTTTTCACTGCTGAGGGCGTATTTGCGTGCATAGTTCCTTGTAGAAGCGCTGCCCAGCTGCTGGTGGTTAATAACACTGGGTCTGAAAAAAGTTTCATCTTTGCTCTATTTCAAAGGGTTCAATATAAGATGACTTACATGTTTTGTGTTTTGTTTAACTAGGTGGTGAAGAATATCACATGGTACACGGAGCGAAGCATCTCTGAAATCACCCTGGGGGGTCTGATTGTCCTGGTCAGCATTCGAACCATCCAGTACAACATGACAGGCATGAGGGTAGGTACACAGTCTAAGCTGGCGATAGTGTTGTGGTCGAGTCCATCACAAGTTCGGTCGCAAGTCTGGTCACAGGTCCATCACAAGTCAATCACATGTGAATCACATGTGGATCACATGTGAATCACAAGTTATTCACATGTGAATCACATGTGAATTACAAGTCAATCACAAGCCAATCACATCTCAATCACATGTCAATCACATGTCAATCACAAGTCAATCACATGTCAATCACATGTCAATCATGAGTCCATTCACCCAAGTCAAATGACAAGTAACAGAGGATGAACAAGACAAGGGAAACTTTCTGTCTATGGTTCGTTTGAATAGCTTGTGACTTGTCTTGGGACAGGATGACTTGTGATTGTCCTGTGAGGACTTGATGAGAACTCGCGAGGACTTGCAGTGAACTTGTGAGGACTTGAGAGGGCCTGTGAGGACATGTGATGGATTCGACTGCAACACTGGCTGGCAATGTACTCCGTGCATGCACAATAGATAGCACTTTTTTACCTCTTTCAAATGCTTCGGTGGGGGGACACACTGGTTCGCGCGTGTACAACGAGACGTACACATGAGCTGATTTTATTCTGAGTGTGCACAGAGCCATAGTGTCTTCATGTGAGTGTCAAGCGTCGTCAGCAATGCGTTTGAATGTCTCTCCCAGTGGTCTGCACCAACTCTCTCTTCCTTACCGTTGAGGGGGTTCTTGTGCACGGAGCCCATAGTTATCAATGCACGTATTAAAGTTGTTGATGGTTGAACTGGCCTAGTTGACTATGTTGGGACTGGCCTACAAAAATTGGTCAGATCACTGGTTACCATAGCCACATGTAATACAATGTTCAGCACTGAGTCACGGCCTTGAGATTCTGTAATGAAGTTTGACAGTAGTTCTTCTCCCTAGGCCTTCTTTTCCCTAGGCCTAACTCCCTAGGGTGTGTGAAAAATCATATTAAAAGAGGAGTCACGACTGTTGGGCTCAATATAATCTCATATGAATACTTACTGTATATGTTCATAATGCACACATTATTTTTAATGTACACATCACTTTTTTTTACAGTTAAATTGCAATTCTACTTTGATTTTTGAGTGGCTTGGATGTTCTCTTTTCCTAATTTACATATTTTGTAACAACTGCACAGTTTAATTTGATCAGCATAACATTATTGGGAGGGGGGGGGGGAGATGCAATGGCCCACCCCTAGTAAAAAAGTGTGGGGGTAGGTGGGTGGGGGGAATGTGTGACCTACTGAGGATGAATGAGGAATGCCTCCCAAAACCGTGTTTTGAGTAATCGGTGCCTGAAGTTGCCAATACATGTACAGTTCTTGAAAAATAATTTTTTATTTTTGAGTAGTCAAGCAAGGTATCTAAGATTGACACTGTGCATTTTGGCTGTGAAAAAAATACCCCCAAAAGTGGAAAAAACTGACGATTTCTGAAAGGTGTTTGAGTGTAGTTTTTCAAAAACCGTCAGTAATTTTCCTCTGAACAACAAAAAATGACCAAAGTTCATCATGAAATTTCAAGAGAATCTATTAGTGCGTATACCTTAGTGTGGTACCATTGGAAAGCATATTGCATGCTCTGTTTATTACATAGCAGTGACATCAGTCTGTACTGGCCTAACAATTCATGATCAGCTGTGGAAAATGGTAAACAAAACGCGATGTTGCGCGACAGATGACATTGTCTAGCTCGCGGGTCTGGACTACGTAATGAAAATAACACCGTCTGATTGGATTACATTGTATGAATGGGATATAGAGCATGCACTGTACGTGTTGTTTACTTTGATACGTGATGTTTTGCAGAACTGATCCAATCTGTGAGCGCGTGCCTACAGCGCGCACGCTCAGAAAGTGTTTACAATGTAACAAAACCGTCCCACGTGTGTACTTGTACAGACACGTTGCACATAAAGCTTGTAATGCACAACACGCAAGGCGTAACTTTTTTTCAAAGCCGTTTTTCTCGAAATGAGGTCACTACCGACTTTCCCGCGTCATATCTGTGGAATTAATTGAGCTACAGAAATAAATTTGCTGTCATTAGAAAGCTAATGAGTTAGCTCTTTTACATGGTGTATAAAACTCAAAAAGTCAACGATGGGAGTTATTCCTCGTTATGCCACGGCAGGACACATAATACATTTATCCTCCCTGCCCCCCTGAGGATTAACACCCATGGTGCATGCAGGCCTATACAAACCATCAGAAAGACATTTTATTTAAAAGTTTTATTTTATGGTCAGATATTTTAAGAAAAATACGTAGAATCACCCGTTTTTATTCAAGTCAAGACAAAAATGTAAATTTTACCAATTTGAAACCCTCCCTTCCTCTGACATGTTTGTACCATTACTTGGCACTTCCCAATGCTTTCGAAGCTTATATCATTCTTTACGTTTTCCAACTTTCACTTTTAAAGTGACTTTCGTAGCCTATATGAACCATTCACAAAGTCAAACAGGGACGGCATCATCTCTTGGCCCGACAAGAGAGTCGTCATTTCTGATTAAAAAAAACTGCACCACTTGCATAACAGGAAGTAATTTCACTTGATCAAAAAAATAGAAGGAAAAAAAAAAGACTCGCCAGTAATAGCGTTGATATAAAAACTAAATGAGTCAGACCACAGAGGTGAAGTGACTTTCTAAATGGATTATGATAGGCTTTTGGCTGATGGTTTCTGACAGTTGTTGCTTGGCAAATCCTTGTGGAGCCTTTATGTAATTGATGCACTTTACACGTGTCTTGTCAGTTTAGTAAGGTGTGGCCTGATACTAAACAGAGGCCCTTTAAAATTTTCTGAATCGTTAAAATTACTGCAATCAAAATTTGAGAAAATCTAAGCCTTGCCATTCAATTTCTTCTTTTTTTGAGCTCTGTGTGAATTTTTTCCCCCCATACATTGGCGTCAGGCAGCATTAATGACATGAAACTTGACTTCCTCTAAATTAGTCCCTGTCGTCTTACGGAGGGTTTTAAGTTTCAGCCCAACTTATCAATCAGCTACAGTCGGTTTCCTGGTAAATAAGCTTAGAAACTTTGCCCCATTTGTGGTTCAACAACCTGCAGAAAGTTGAGGGTTTCAAATTCAGTCTTGATGGTGGGATTTTAATTTGGAGCTTGTGGTTGTATCTGCATTTGACCCTATACTCGCCTATAAAACAAACAAAGAAGTTGTTCTTACAAACTGTAACGATCCGATAGTCAGATGTTGGGTTTGCCTGGTTGCGGGAGATTTTTTACCAAGCAATTAATAAACACCATATTTCCCGGAATAGGAAAGGAAATATAGGAATAGGAAATATAGGAATATGAAATATAGGACTAGGAAATATAGGACTAGGAAATATAGGAATAGGAAATATAGGAATAGGAAATATAGGAATAGGAAATATAGGAATAGGAAATATAGGAATAGGAAATATAGGAATAGGAAAGGAACAGATCCTTAGTGATTTCTGAATTTCAATCGTGGATATTTCTATGTTTCTTTCCATTCACCAGTGTATTTTACTAGTGTCACAAATTCTACTGCTTAAAAACCTTTTTTTAAATACTTTTCTGTCAAGTTTAGTTCAAATGAGTCTTGGATAAATAATTAGATATTTTCCTGTTTCCTCTTTCTATAAATTAAAAAAAAAAAAATTCTTATGAACAAAAATGTACCTTGAGCCACAGCTATGGGGGTTCATGCCCCCCCCCCTCCGGTTTATTCATAGCGTCATCAATCCTCTCTTTCCGGTTTTGAGTGGATCTGCCCCCCTCCCCCACCTGCTAAATGGACTCCAGTGACCGTTCCAGGTCCCCTGTTTGCACTCGTCCAGACATGGTGTCTCCACTTGACAATATCGTGATGCGTGGCCCCGGCCCATGGAGAAATGTACTTCCCCGTCACCTGTCACAGAAGAAAAAGTTGCCCTCCTGTCTTCCGACGAGTCAGTCAGTCTGTTCAGGTGATTCGATTATGATGATTGACCCCGACTTTGCCCCCCCACCCCCGTAATCTTCAAGATTACCCCCCCTTTACCTGTATTTTGAGTTTCCTGTGTCATAGCCATCACCTTTGAGCTATACCTGCTCGTGTTTGCTGTGTCACCGTCGTAGCGTGTCTCACCTAGTTTGAAAAAAGAACCCAGCCCATCTTCGCGATTAGACTCTCTGGCTGCGGAGAGTCAGGTGGCGTCAGGGTTATTGTTCCGGCTGTCCCGTTACCAAATTATTTGATCCTCTGGGGCAGGGGGGAGGGGTACTGAAGTGGCTCCACGGAGCAACGATACTGCCTGAGAACCTTGTTAACTCATCCCCCTTCTAAATTTTCTTGGAGACTGCTCTGCAGCGATTGCGCTTGACGCTTATGTCAGGTTCCCCTGATTGTCTCTCCCGCCCGCGAAGGGCAGATTTTATTGGCGTCGATGGTTAACCGACTAAGTGCTGCGTCATTGCCAGTCATGTTGGTGTGCTGTGTTTGAAGGTGATAAAGTTCGGTTTTAGCAGCCATGGGCGGGTAGTTAGCTGCAGTGATGGTGATTTCTTATGACAGCTTCGAAGGTGTGTTGTAAGAAGGGGTGAAAAATGTGTCCCAAGAAACCTGTTGTTGTCGAGAGTAACTCACCTTGTTGACAAAGATAACCATCTTTCACATGTATGTTACATGTATTATACATCTCAGCCAAAATTCAGCCAAATTGAGTTAAAAAAACACTACCAATTTGTAAAACATGAATGTCTGTGAAATACATTGTTGATCGAAAAATTTTGAGCCACATCTGGTAACCATCTGGTAAAAATGAGATTTTTCAGACTTATGTCTGAAATCAGACTTTTTGTATCCGAGAGAAAGACATTATTAGTATAGAAAGATAGGCCTATGCTTCTTTCAGATTTTTCATCAATTTTCAGACTTTTTTTTAAATTCACAATCTCATCTCTGTTACCTGGCTATGGTCAGAAATAACACACACTTGTCTATGGCAAGTGGCTTCCAGCTGCTTCATAGACCCATGTGTGATTGCAAGCACTAGCCGTAACCAAGTCATCTGGACACAGCCATATCAGGATGGTCCTTTCATATGGTGCAGGCATTTCAGCAAATCGCACCCCTTCCCAAAAGCTGGCTGGCACTTTTGCGGTTTTGTTGGCCGTCTAAACCATTTAGGGGCTGCGACAGTTGAGGTGGGGTAGTCCCAACTCCCAAAGTCAAGGGTAATGACTGTTAAAGCTGCCACGGCTGAACGTTTGCGTACTGTGTCACTGCAAGCACTGATTTTATATGTTGTTGTCCAACACAGAGACTCAAGTCCAACCCGAATAGACCACGTGACTTCTGTTGTGGTCACGTGATGACAACTTTTAGCAAACGGTTCTCTTCTGCGCTACATGTGTATCGTGTTGACGTGTACAGTTTAATGCGGGCCAAATAACATGCCAAGGATGCTTAAACGTTTGGGTTGCGGGCGGTCGCCAGTTGGCATGATGTCACATGGTCTGTAGGATTCAACCTTGGTCACGTGGGTTTGGGGAGCGAAGTTCGACCATGACTACCTGCCTAATAGACCTTTATCACGCTGCCACCATTTTCAGTCATGTTCCCTACATGTATCCAATAACAGTACTGAATGATAATGTTTGTTTGTGCAAAAAGGAACCTGACTATTTTTCCTTCCAGCCTCGCTTTGGTTACATTGGTTTGAATGGGAAAAATCCAAATGGCCACAACATGATAATGGTCTATTACGTGGTTATCAAGCCTAGATAAACACTTCAACATTTGTTTATCTAATATAATTAATATACATCTTGATGGAAACCAGTTATATACTAAATCCATGTTATTTATTTTATTCCTTAAACTTCAAGAGGAAACAGTTCAAGACTCTTTTCTGGAATTTTCATTTTTAGTTTTCATCGCTTTTTAAGTTTCCAGTTTCAGCTTGCAACTTTGAAGTTTCTTCATTGTAAGTTCAGCTTTCCTTTGGCCGCTCTCCTCACTATAGATTAGGATATCGCTAATAGTCCGCCGTGACTTTAAGCCGTGACCTTAAGCCGCGCTGCCAACAAAAGAAAACCGCAAGACATCGGGTGTAATCACTGCTCAGTCACTGACGGCAGAGAGCGCCGCAGACTTTGCGTCTTCTCCTCCGCGGCTTGTTAGCGCCAAACTCCAAACGAGTTCCGACACGCGGGTAATCCGGCCGGGGTGATTTGCGCGTCATTTTGGCTTATCGGGTTGTCTCTGCGCATTAACCCTGGCGCTGACTCTCAGGTGTGGTGTCCTGGAAGGGACATGTGTGCAGGCTTTATGTCACCAGCTTGGGAAGGTATCTGGGTGATGTAATTTTTACAGGTCAATTTTTCGCTGGTCCAAGAAGGCCAGCTTAGTGTCGTCTTTGTACCTATCACACTGACTCACTGGCTGTCACTTCTGATTCGGGCAGTGCAATCATATAGGATTACCCTGTAGCGTCAATGAATGGGCTAAATTCGGCCCGTTGTGTAGACAAGATGCCTTCAAGTCCGCAGAGTAGGAAACAATTCTCAAAATCTCAAAGACTGAAAACGGTCATCAGGATCAGGTAGCTTTGCAATGTACTAGGGACCCATAAAGTAATTTGGAGAGGGAACTAAGTTATTAAGTGAGCAAACAGGCAAACTACATAAATAAGTGGATTTCAATTGCTGCAAGAAGGCAAGCAAGCCAATTTACAAACAATACAAGAAAACTGGTTACACACATCAGGAAAGTATCAAGTAAACAGTAGGACAAGCTAGACAACTTACAAGGCAAAATGAAAGAGCTGTTCGTACTTGGCAAGCATTGCACAGATATTATAACGAAAGAAGTAAATTATGATTTATAATCAGAAACTTTTAAGTAGTCCCTGTCTTCACCAACTCCCAAACCCAGTGACTTGTCCAGCAAGTTAGAGCAACCGCCTTTCCAGGGGGAGTAAGTAAACATAGTTGCAAGGCTGAACCGAGTCACTCTTGAACGCCTTGGCTTCTGCAGATATGGCGTTTGATTTCCAACTTCCTCCAGTAAATTGAGGGTGGGCCCACCAGTAGAGTGCAGTTCAACTTTTTTTTCTCGAAAGAGGGGAGAGGGGGGAAGGGTGGTCTGTTTAATTTTAATGAGGCGCAAAACTTAATCTTCGGAGTTTCTCTCCAGTGAAATGGATGAGATCAAGGTCCTTCCTGAATGCATTTGGCCTGTTATGTAAGTGAAATGGTTAGGGGCGGGAAAGCTAGCAGAAGGAATGCAAGCATTAAAAGATGACAAGCCCAGTTCTGCTGAGATATACCGTTGATTTTGACATTAGATTGTCCTAAAACTAAGTAACAAAAATTAGTTCACTAAAAGTGTTTTTCTCTATTTAAGTAAAATCTCTTTTTTTTACCCCAAATACCGAGATCAGATATTTGACTTTCAAATACCCACAAATGGTTCCAACGCAAGGCTGCAAGTTGCAGAGCCCACATTTAAGAAATGGCCTTGTTGTCAACCTTAAAAGTCATGACTTGTTTGATATGGTTTTTGAGATCTGACAGATCTACGTAGATTTTGACATTCTCTTGACTTTCATCATGAGTACTTACGAGGCTTTGCATCGCCCTAATTGCTGGGAAGGCGGCTTCGCTTGCAAGTCGCAGTGATGACGTTCAATTGTTCATGTTCTGTTATGACCGACTTATATAAATTGTGGTTTTGAGGAAATATTGTGTGTGTTTTCTCTCTTATCTTGGTTGCAAATCTGTATTTTCATTTTTCAATGTTACGTGCTGATGTTTTGAAGTGTCCTGTCTTGTTTGTGCAGAAATGATGACCACATTTATTTTTTATTGACCTAATTTCCTCAATGTAATTGCACACACTTTTTTTAATAATTTGTTTTTTATCAAAAGTTTACGTATATATCCTGGCAATGTTGGTGGGAATGTTTTTTTTTATGGCCGCCGTTAATTTTGTATGCATTTACATAACTCTAATGAATTATCAACTGAAATGTTGATTATGAAATGATGAAGTTCGATATTTTAATGTCGACTTTTTTATACTTCGTTTTACAACTTTTGCACCAATTGTGTTTTGGCTGTTTTGTACTTTCTCCTTCAGTTTTGCTACGTGTTCAGTTTCACTGATTTCCATGAAATCTTTGAAAACCACCCTCTTTAAACCACAACCATGCCTCCCACTCCCCCTACCGCCCCCCCCCCCCCCCCCGAAAAAACCCCAATTATGAAGCAAAGTACAATAAATTACACAGACCCGATAAGAGTGACAGTGTTTTGCCGATAAGCTGCAATTGAGTTAGCCTGTCTGTAGATTCCCAAATATGATCAGGTCGTTAGGTTTGCTGAGATCAGTCAGTCAGCGGTCCTCATCGTCGGGCCGTGCTGCCGGGGGACGGCAGGGAAATCAGAGGGATTACCGCATCGCAGCCGCCCGGGGAATCGGAATTTACGCTGGTAATTAATTCCAGCTGCTGTGGGTAGCGCCTCGAAATATAAGAAAAGCAAGAGTAAGGTGGTTGGTGCTCTCCACGTCCTGCAAAGACAAGGGGGGAAAAATCGTGTAAATTGAGCTGTAATGTGGTGTTTGGGACGGTTTTATTGATGTTGATGGATGGTGAATAATGCATAAGGTGGGCGGAGTTAAAGTTGCCTACTTTGACAGGTGGGGGCACCGTGCGGACACAATTAATGCTGATTCATCACGAGAAAGACTGAGAGAGAGCCAAGTGGATTTTAAGAATACATGCTGTCCTGGAGAGATCACTACTTTTTAGAAGAAAACTAATTTTGAAAAAAACATAATGTCATACAAATTTAAATACAAATATAGCGCTTCATCTGTTTCTCGGACAAAGTGCTTCATAGTTGTTACCCCTGACCGGCATGCTTATACTTCATCCCTGGGTTATATATATGGTCAGGCTGCCAGATGTGCTGTGTGAACTTACATCAGCTACACTTGCATCGTTTTTTTTACCAGACCGTTTTTTATTCCTTGGTGGTTTGGGACGGGGATAAAAAGTGATAAAGTGCGTTGATTATGGACATAATATATTTGACTTGGAGGCAAAATGTGGACACCCAACTTAGTCATAGTTAACCACAAGTCTCGATTCGATCAAACTTGCTTCTGTATCTGTCTGTATCTGTATCTGTATATTATAGTCGGTAAAGTATCCCAGGGGAAACATCACACCAACTTAGAGAGGAGACAATGAGAAGAAATTACAGTTTTAGAGGTGGGAGGAAAAGCCCAAAACATATTCTGGGTAAAACCCACGGAATCTGGTAGGGGCTGAAAACCCAATCCAGATATTGACCCAGGCGGGATTCGAACCCGGGCCACAGCGTTGGAAGCCGAGGAAAGTACCGCTATGCCAACCTGACTCCCCTGCTTTTTATTTTCATCCTTGAAGTGGCCACCAAGACCAAGACCATTCTTCGTCAGAAATTTAAGACTATTTTAATTTAAATGATAAGTAATTTTGTAATGAGGCACTTATTTTTGATTTGTCTTTTCTGACCCTGGCAGGATAAGTACCTCCACACCAACTGTTTGGCAGCTCTGGCCAACATGTCGTCACAGTTCCACTCCCTGCATCCGTACGTCACCCAGAGAATAGTCAGGTACTGTGCCATTGATCATTAATAAATAGCAAAGTTGTGTGACCAGTGTCTGGGTCTCATACTCGGTCTGATCCAAGCCTCAAGCTTTGGTTGTAAAACTCCTGATTCAGTGAATTGAAAAATGTGAATGAATTTGATGCAGTTCCCTCTCCATTGATCGCTGCCGTTGATGTGAGCATGACACAGAATCAACTCAAAATTTCTGACCCATAACTCAGACATGATCTATTTATCAAAGTTTTGTACTCAAAATCGGCTCTGATTCTGTGGTTGGAGGACTGGAGCGAGTTTGGCCGAGCTACCTTGGTCACCTGACCAAGTTTGTTATCGCATTGGTCGTTGCACACCGTTTGATTGACGGGAAGGAAGGGTCCGTAAGTAAAGTTAAAATGTGAGGATTTGGGGAGGTTATAGGGCTCAGTTCAATGGTTCACTATTTTTTTTTCGTCTATAGCATGTTCGAGTCGTTGACCAAGAAGCATGATAGAATAGTTGCTCAGCTGAGAGAACGAGCGACAGAGGTCTCATCCATGGAGGAAGACCCAGAATGTGAAATCCTGGTAAGAGGAAAAAAAACCTTAGCATTCCTACACTTCTCCCGTATTCTGTAGGCGTTTCTTCCGTTGGCATTTGGCACATTGTCTTGTTGACACCTTCTTAGGGTCTGGATAAGCCCACAGATTTCTAGCTGCCCTTGCTCATAAGAAGTGCGTTCTCAAAACGTTGTTCTTAATAGGTCTGAAACTAAACAATTTTTGACATTGATTAATCGGTCAGTTTTCTGTTATGGTTTCAATTAATCAAATGGTTGATTTATTGTTTGCATTGATTTGTAAATAAAAATAATGCCACCAAGAAAAGTGTAAACAACTAATTATTCAACAACCTTTTCAGAACATAAAAATTGGTCTTTACATCATTTTCGGTATTTGGTTCTGAAGTCCCTTCAGAAAAAAAATGAAAAAAAAAAAAAATTGTGTTTATGGTAACCCCACCTGCCTTAATTTTTTTTAGGCCATATTTTTGTTATTTGTTAAATTAAACGATTGAACAGGTTTATTGCACAGAATAAAGTAAACAACGTCAGTATAAAAAAACTGACAGACAAACATTAAAAACAGGTATATTCCTACCTACCTGCCTAGATGATTTTTCAGGGGGTTAACTGTAAACACACCATTTTTTTTCTCGTCGTTAATTTGTTTTTGATCAATTGAACAGAAAAGTGTAACTGAATAACAATAAGATCAATTATCCTGACAACCATATAACTGTTGCGGGTCTACATTATAGACATATAGTGATACCAAACTTAAATAAACTCAACTTGAAATTTGAATGTTGCACCTTTCTGTGGTCTTGTTCATCCCCCCCAGCTGTCAGATCTAGCAGTCTTGGAGGACAGCATCCGCATGGTCCTGGAGATCATCAACTCATGTCTGACCAACATGCTGCCTCACAACCCCCACCTCATCTACACGCTGCTCTACAAGTGCGAGAGGTTCTCTGGCTTCAAGACGCATTCCAAATTCTACGACATCATACAGAATATCGACACGGTGAGTTGGGGAGTTTTCTTGCCATTTTGGGACCACTTTGGGACAAAAACATCTCGGATGAAACTCGCTTGCAGTCAACAAAAGTTGTAGGGCCGTAAGCAAGTGCCCTGAAAAGGAAATCTGTGAAAATTGTCAATGTTCACTTTCGAAGTGTCGTGATCTATGTGGCTGCAAATTTTGAATGTTGTACTTGAACAGTTCTTTTCTTTCTGTGGAACGACAAACATTAATCACAAATTTACAAGAGGCCTGATGTCTCAATTTTGCACAAAGAATCTGACATTTTTTATTTTACAGTGTTGGATTTTGATTCAAGATTCCCGATTTTTCCTGTCACAAATAAAGTGTCTTGTACTTTGCTTGAGAAGATAATTGTCTAAACTGCTTTCCAAACTACCTTTCATAGTTTTCTCAACTCTCTGGTTTCTCTTTGTCCAGGTTCTGGCGTATTTCTCACAGAAGCTGGAGCAGAATGAACATCACAACCTGACCGTTCACCAAGTGCTTGAGATCATCAAGCAGGGAATACTGCAGTGGCCCAGGGACAGGCTCAGGGTAGGTAACCTGGTCAGGCCAGTCCTTCTTCTAGTCTCCTCATCGCTTGAAAGCACCCAAAACCCACAGTTTGTCAAGTCTTCACAATTCGATCACGAGTCGGTCTCTGTGACAGTGAACTGTAACAAAATGGCATTGCTCGTACCCCTGTTGCTTGTGAACGAACGGAAAAAATGTTGCAACCTGACGCCACTTCAGCAGTTGTGTACAAAGTCGATAGAGAGTCAAGGAAATTTTCTAAGTATTTCCTAACAAAATTGGAAATGTTTCTCAGTCCCAGATTCATGTCTTATCATCATTTTTGCACTGACTGACCTTCATTGAGATGAGATATGAAGAAAAAAAGTTGCATCAGGTTGCAAAAAAAATTTCCGAACGAACTTGTGGTTAACTTGGCTACAGCTCAGAAATCGCCAAAAGATTGACTGTGGTACTGTGTATAAGAAACCACACTTATCCACTGAATCATGGAATATAGATAATCGTAATCACCAAATGCTGAACATTTACTAAGCATGGAAGACTTTACTACGGTAGCATACCAAATGCATGGGAGTGGCAGGGGCGGATCTAACTTTCAGGAAAGAGGGGTAGGGTGCAACCTCCACCCCCCCTCTTCTATCTCCACTACTGGGTAGCGGAATCTACTGTAAGATGCTCATAAAACCTGACTCTGTTAGGGTTAAGGTGGGGGAGGGGGAAGACAAGATTAAAAATTCCGTCAACAAAACATTTTGTTTGTTTCTCTCTCCCTCCAGAAATTTCCCGACTTGAAGTTCAAGTACGTTGAGGAGGATCAACCGGAGGAGTTCTTCATCCCGTATGTCTGGTCCCTGGTCTACCACTCCTCCAACCTGTACTGGGATCCAGACCGGATAGAGCTCTTCACACTCAACTCCAGCTAAGAGACGATCAACCAAAATGAAGCCAAGGCGGAAGGGAGGTAGGTGATAAGCCTACTCTTTCTTCATTTTCTTCATTGGTGATTTTTTTCTTTCGAAATGGCGGCTGTGATATGTGCCGTGGACGATTTGAACAATATTACCAGACGGAATTTGCTTTGATTCGAGTGGAATATGATTGTGATTCTTTCTAAGCATCATAGAAGACATCGGTTTTGTGGATTGGAACTACAGATGGTACGTGAGGGCTCTCGCGATGTTTTTAAGCTTACAGATTGTACCCATCCACAGTTATTTTGAGACAGTGTCACAACAACATGCGTTGCCTGTGCGTGAGTGTAACACGCAAACACTGACTGATAAAAAGTGGTTGCACTGATGTCGCCCGTCAACAACGTTGTGCAAAAACTGAAAGTTATGGATTGCACAACCTTTGTGTTTTTAACTCTGCTTGCCTGGAATAGCCCGAAGATTTATGACGTTGATAAAGTGACAAACATTTTGTTTTAGATGGAGCGTTAAAGTTGATGCGTCCCTCTGTCACTAAATCCTACTTGATGCAGTCAAATTTCGTGGGAAGGAATCGCACTGCTGCGCTCGCCAACTGAACGTATTTGTTGCCTGATTTTTCGTCCGTTCTCCTGATGTAGTATCCTGGCTGCAATGTGATTAACTGTGGTACTGTGAAAATGCACAGTAAATGGTCTAAAAACCTAGAACAGACACAACTTTAAGAGGCGCGATTTGTCACAAGGTTCATCAAAAGTGGAATTTCTAAACGCTATAGAGGAATAACAGCAAGATAGACCATCACAAGTATCTTGGATAGTGAACATTGATATTTTTTTATCAAGATATTTTCAACTTGGTTTTCTCGATGGTCGAACAGTGAACATTCTCATCTCATGGACCTTTGACAATATAAAGTGTCAATAACTCCTTTGGCTGTAAGCAGTTGGAAGTGGTGCTTGTCGTATGATGAACCATCGCCCATTTGTTTTTCTCGGTATAATTAAAGAAAGAAATTGACTGGAGCGGGGTTCGAACCTCCGGATTGCCGTTCCGGTGCTCTACCAACTGAGCTATCCGGCCCGCCCTATGTTGGCGGTTCCCCATTTTGTGAATTTTTTTTTTTCAAAGGGGCGCTAGTCAGAAGCCATAAACTCATATGCTTCATGTATGACTTCCTACCAGCATCATAAAGTTAGATTTAGCACAAGTGAATGTAGATAAATAAATGAAAAAAAAAAAGTTGTGCAATGAAAAACTTGTAAATAGCATGTAAGGACTCACAGAGTGCTGTGAGCTTCTTGACTTCTCTTCCAATTTCTCCTTATTTTTTTTTTTAAACATACACAGATTACACAGATTACTGTGATTAATAGAACTGTATGGGAAGAAAATGCGGTTTTTCCCCCTGTTTGTTGACATACAGTATGAAAAGATGTTGCTTGGTGTATGATTCTTTCAGCAGTATTTGGATTTGCGTAGAAGTTCATGGATTGCGAGGACAAATTAGAGTGAACCGATTTCAACTCTTGTTATATAAAATGGTTCATCGGCACTTTAGTAAATAGCTTAACCTAGGAGAGAAATTTCTGTATGGTTCTCAATAATTTTGCATTACAGCATGTACAGAGGGAACATTTGAGCAGCAACTTCTTTAAAATCTCTAGTTGTCACCAAAATTACATAGTCAGTTCTTCTAATTTCACATTGTGCATGCATGTCAGTGCATTTTCATGGTCCGTTTTGAACATTGTATCGACCTTTTAAGTTTTGGTTTTATAGCTCACAAAATAAACTAGAGTATAGTGGTGTGCACCTTTGGGTGGTACCGGAACCAGGTACCGATGCGTACAAAAACACAGGTTCCTGCGGACCCATAAAAGTAACCCAATCCCAATATTCAAACCCTGGAAGTTGTCCGAAGGGCTTTATAGCTTTGTTAACTGCAAGTTTCGCGAGCGTCATCTGTCGTGCGTTAAAAATGCACATAAAAGTGAAATCTGTTTTGGTTTTCCATGTAGCCTGGTTTTCACTTTGAAAATTCCCCACAAACGGCATTCAAAACCTTTCTTTTTTCATCGGCTGAGAAGTTACTAAGTAATTTGTAAAGTTGGTTACGGGTACCAGATTCCATAATCTAGAACCGGTTCCTGACGTTAACGGTCGGGTACTTGGGTACCCGGTTGCGATGCACACCCTTAGTAGAGTAATATTTTGTCTGTCTTGTTCGTCATTTTGAAATAAACATTCTGTGTAGGTATATGTATCTGCATCTGTAAGATACTGTGCAAATTCCTTGATACGATGTAACTTTGGAAATATATACGGAAATCGTAGTCAAAACATACTCTTGTGTATATATTTGTAAATAATGTACTATATTAAACTAGAGTGCATTTGGCCATTTTTGAGTATTGAAGAAACAATTTTTTTTTTTTCAAAAAAATTCAAAAATCTATGTTGGTTTAGTTTATAGGCTGACATTTTATTCAACTGATTAGAATTTATTATTGCTTTAGATGATTAGGTTTCAGCACTTTTCAGAGTTTTATTTGAATTTTTTTTTTTTATTTGAACATTTTATTGAAATTTGACGGATCAAGTCGTTAACTTCTGATGTTGTCGCAGTTAATAGTGAATTATTGTTGCACTGAATCAACCAAAGCGAAGACTTTTGGTGTAAAATTTTAATTAATCTTTTAAAAGAGAGTATAAGAGGGAAAATCACGAAACTTCTGTCAATGGACATGTTAACTAAAGGGTAATATCCAAACATGGCAAAACTGTCTTGTTTTATTATTTTATTAACAATATTCGCCAAAAATATTGGCCTGGTTGAGTTGGCATAGATTAACAAAAAAAATTGATTTTGCGAATAATACAATTACAAAACAGTATAGAAAAATAATCTTGGGTTTGCCTGATATTTTACTTCTGTCTCGGATTTCTTGGGCTGCTGTACAAATTATTTTTGGAGCAGTGGTTTTAGTCATTTTCATTTCCCCCTCGTTGGAAACCTTTCTTTTTGGTCATGCCAAATGCTTTTTGAGTGGCACAGCAGAGACACACGCACCGCCTTAGTCACGATGGGTCTTCGTAGTTGGCAGGAACGCCGCACGCTACTGCCTAATCTCCCCATGATCTCAGTTCCTGATAGGGTTACGCGGGGATTTCCTGATTTGTGTAAACTACTTGCTGCTGGGGCGGCTACGTACGTCTCACTCCTGCTGGAAACTTTGGATTCCTACTGAGGCAGTGGATCGGTGTCTGCCAGGAAAAATGACTTTCCGCTTAGCTTTGTGCCCATTGCGAGAATGAAAATATTGTGTGAGTGCAGACAAAGCTAGTGATTGGTCCATAACTTTCTGTGTTTTTTACGTGCAAGAAAAACATTCAAGTGCCAAGTTTTTGTATTCAAACTAGATCCATGTGTTAGCTTAACCCTAACTCCCTACTGTCTTTTACTAAGTACTAGACCAAGTCCGCCAAAGTTCATCAATCACACTGCTTCCAATGCATGCTTTACTTTAGGCCTTCAGGCCTAAGTCCAACATACTCCATCAATATTTTGTCAAACCAGGCCTGCAGGACCGAGTCCACCAAAATCCACCAAAATAGGGGATGGATTTTGATGGAGTTGGGGCGGTTAGGGTTAATCATGTGCGATTCCTTGTGTACTTTTTTCCATTCTTAAGACATTAGTATTTTGTATTCTATGAAGCTAAAAACCTCGTATCTTCAGCAGGAATAATGCCACACTGCCCGTTCCCGACGCACGCATCTTACGATTGGAATGCTTGTTGGACTTTTGTTGGACATTTGGTTGTGTAATTATGGCTGTGATTGGTCCAAACATTGTGGGCTGGGCGGTAATATATTCGTCTTTTACAACCCAACTACACGTACCTCTTGTCCTCCCATCCCCTTTTGTTTCCGTTACTTTTGTTGGACATATTGTTGCGCTATCACTCTGTGCTTAGTCAAAACATCATGGAACAGGGCTCAAGTAACCCTAACCCCCTTGAGTGATTTACTAGGAACCTTCCTCTCCCTTTGCCAAATCCAACACCGTATGGTAAACTCTACACCCAAACTGTTGGACTCTGATTACGGTGGTTTGCCTAACCCCATGTAAAACATAATCAGTTTACTAGTGCAGTACTCACTCCAACAGATTCCAACAAAATATGCAGTTGTATTTTGAAGGGTTTGGGTAGTTTAGGGTTAGTGTAGTGTTCTATTTCACCCAAACCCTTTATTCTTTGATCCTGCCCCAGTTGCCCTTCCGTCGCTTGCTTCCACAAGCGTTCCAGTTGCTCCCGCCCCCTAATTCTGTCCCCCCATCTTCACTCCTCCCTTCCCACTCTTTCTTATCTCTTTCTAGACCGTCCTTTCTGCACCTCTCGGTGACGAGTCATTGCCCAACCAACCCTGACACGAGGGGGGTCCCAACGTAACCCGTGCTAATTACCAAAAATTATAGGGGACTCCAAAATGTCGGGAGCTGTCAAGGTCATCTGGTGAATGGGTTCCCTTGGAGCGACCCCCCCCCTTCCACTGGCCTCCCACTATTAGTATTTCACCATCATTGCAGAAAGGGAGGGGGTGACTTTCTACTCGGCCTTTTTTGGGGGGTGGGGTATTTCGACTGTCTTGTCGACTCAAAATAATGTTAACCCCATTCCTCTGCCGTGGCTGAAATTGTGTCATGACTTATGGGTGTTGACTGAGTTAGCCTAAAAGTAAGACATGGGGGGATCTTGGGAAATAAAATTACCGCTGTGAACTGTGAAAGCAAGGCCACGTCCGAATTACTTGGCCGTTCGATTGAAACTGGCAGTAGGCTCTTACAGTGAAGTCTGTCGCGAGCCAATGTGGCCCATCAGGACGGCGTTTATCTCCGGTTTCAATCGCACGAAAGGACTGAGAATATTGGCTAGTCCATCGCAGATTACTCCCCAGCTAATGCCCGTACCCATTTATACTCCTGGGTGGAGAGAGGCAAGTGGGGGTGAAGTGGCTTGCCCAAGGACACAACAT